CTGGTTTGCCTCTTCTCTTTTTATGCCGGGTGTGGTGTTCCAAAACTGCATCTGCAACACGCGAATGAGTCCCTCGAGGGCTCATCGAGGCGTCGCGCTGCCCAAATGCACCTTGCCCGTATGCACCTTCCTCGTTTCTGTAATCTCGATCATTAGCATACAGTGAATTGTACTCTCGTTCTCCGAGATACTCGGTATTTCTTTATTGTGCCATTACGCGAAATTGCCGCAGATAGAGCCGAAAAGTTGACACCGCATCTGCATTTTATGTATTTTAATGATAAATAATGGTAACTTTTTTATATATTCTACGAATTCTATGAAGATAAAGTGCCTAAAACGAGCGTTTCTCTCGTATAACATCTATCACAACTAATATGTGGTTGTGCCAAAAATATTGACCGAGTCGTGCTTTTATCACATTGTTAAAAAAGCGAAGCTTTTCCCCATAACATGCGTTTCGTAAAACTGCAAAATGTAACATTAATATTCTAAAGGTAATGTATCTTATGTATTATAAAATCACGCAAGGATTTTCAGATTTCACGAAAAAGACAGATGTCGAAATTTCATTTACATATATGGCTTTAAGCTTCACTTATTCACAGATTATGTAAAAGAGAAACGCGTAGAACGATACAAAAATATGCTGCTACCGAGCATTTATTCGAATCAGCAGATGCATGATAATCGATATCGGAAATTCTTGCGGAAAATCCGAGAAAATTTCTGCGAATCGGAAAGTTGCTTCTCAATCAATTTCTTTCAGGTCAAAGCGCAGACTCGAAAATTCCATGACTCAGTCAAAGACCAAAGGCGAGAGAATTTCATTTACGTCGTTGCTTATTCGAACGATGTAAAATTTTCGAGGAACGAGCCAATCGCGCGTATATATCTGCGTTTATCTGTGCAGATGCACAGGATGGGAAGAATCGATATCGTGGAAAATCCGTGGGAAAAAAAAAATCCGAGAGCTCGAGATGCTTTTTTCGGAGCGACTCTCTTTGAAGTCGCGGGACGGAGCCTTTCGAGATTTCGGGATTCCGGCGTCGCGCTGCTAAAAGAGCGAGAATTTCACTTACGTCGTCGATCTTGGCTTATCCGAGCCGTGTAAAATTTTCGGGAAGCGAATATACGCGCACACATACATTGCTAGTCGCATATTCGAGAGAACCCAGGTGCGCCATCGCCGTCGTGGACGATCGGCGCGCGAGGAGAAGCATGGGCATTGCCTTTCCCTTCCGACCCTCTCACGTGCCGTCCCTTTTTCTTCGTTCCACCGGCATATCGGACACGATTTTTCAAAGCGACTCACGTCCTCTCAATGTGTGATATGCTTCTCAAGCGACACGAAGCCAAGGGAGACACGTACGCGCGCCGCGTGCGCGTATCTTACGCTCAACCGGTGCTATATATATTAATGCATATTATACACGGGATATTCCACCAAAGAAAGAGGAAACCAACGAGCCTTTTTATCTGCGGATTTTGTCAAAGCCAAGTGTCAAACCGACTTTTCCTTCAAACGTCAAGGGACTGGGAGAGAAGCTATTTCTGTTGAGAATAAAAAATTTTTCGAGAATAAAGGTCCAAAAGTGTAAACGGATAGTTAATATGAAATATTTTTAATTATAATTATTAAGTGACAAAAATGGCACATAAGAGCCGAGACGTAAATATTTAATTTCGTTACAAAACATGAACTAATTACTTGATTCATATTTTGTAACGAAATTGAATATTGCAATATATTAATAAACGAAGGGATACAAATTGTTTTCCTTGCGCTCTAATTACTACGCCTGGGCTCTTTATTATTTTCGCTTAGTGATTGTTATTACTTTATCAATTTTTGTTATTTTATTTTTTAATTTAATCATTTTAAAGATATTCAAAAATTATTTGAAATTATATAGATTATAAAATCTTGCAATAAATAATGAAAGAATCTTAATCAACAGCAACAAAACTTTAATTCCAAGTTAGTCAAAATTTGCACGAAAAATGATTCCTTATATAAAAGGAAACATCATATTGCATCAATTCTTTAAATAACTAATAAGAAAAGATATTTCTAGTCACACATAGCTTAATATATTATTTCAAATGCTTTTTTCTAATTAATGAATCTATTCTTTCTTTTTCTCTAGAAAGGAAAATAGAAAACGAAGAAAACATAAACTCGTATGACGTTGCAAAAATCTCACAAGAAAGAAAGTAGAATAATGGAACTTATGTTGCAACAACACGACGTAGTCCTGTCGACTCAACGCTTAAGCAAATATTGCTCGTGTTTGAAGCGTGTAATTCAAGCGACAATACAATCCCATCATAGTGAATGCACGTAACTAGAAGCTTTCCTCGGTGCGCTCTTTTGTCAAGATCATTGTCGTTCAGAAGAGAGAGACGCGCGCGTGCTGCTTTTTACAGATAACGTCGGACGTCTGCAGATAATCCCGTGTTGAATGCCCCCGTCATTCGACATGGAAGAGCACGAAAAGTATATATTCTAGCCCTCTTGAAGACTTTCTTTCCGTGTGAGAGCGTGTTTCGAGGACTTTTGTGCGACGATGCTACGCCATATTTATCCTGATCGCCAGAAATATATCGCCCTTTATGCTTTTATCATTATTCATGCTTTTCGAGGGAAAAACCGCAATAAAATATAAGATGTAAGCAAAATTACATCCTTCAGCAACTTGATGGCAACGAATATATATTTATCTCAGAATGACAACTTTACAATAATTAATAACAGTTATACACACGATATAGCCATGTATCATAATATAAAAAACGCTTCGATAAAAATGCAAACTCCGTCGTCACCTCTTTTTGTCGCGAGTCTTGTAGTATGCATAGTCGCGATAATTACGCGCGTTTTTTAGATGCCGGCGACAAGGGACGACAAGGATGACAAATCCATTTTTGCGATCGTACACGTGCACATGTATATGTACGCGGAGACAATGACAGATGCACAGCTGAGAGATTATACCTATGTATATCGGGGCCTTTGATTTTCCACAGCTGCCGAATCACTCCGCGAAATCTGAAGTTTTATACGAAGGCAAAAGTGAAAGAGGGTAAAATCACCCTGTCAAAGGCAAGCATATTCGCTCTAGCGCAGGACCGAGTGATTTATATTGAAATAACACCGTCAGGTAAACGAATAGATTGACGGATAAGCCGACGTACGAGTGTGCGTTTGGCGCGTGTGTACTGCGTGGGCGTGTATATATTTTATCGCTAGGATGTATACGATGAAGAATAAATATCTCTCTTTCCGCGAAAGAGTGGCTTGGCAATGTTCAAGCTCGTTGGAAGCTCGAGAATTGCCTTGAGAGGATCATCCTTATTCGAAAGTTGGAAAATCTCTCATTTTCTTCAAAACATTCTCAAGAATGCCAGTTGGAAGATGACCAGAGATCTTAGAGTTGGTATTGATAACCCGGATTGAATCGAGTGGAAGACGGATTTAAAGTGGATTCGAGATGACATGTTTAAAGATACGGCTCGATTTATTTCGAAGGAAAACTCGACCCGAATATTTAATTATTATTATTCAACTAACTCAACGAAAATAAAATATACGTGCGTGTATACAAGATTATTCAAAGTCCCATCCATGTAATTTTCGATACAAATGGTTGAACTGAATCTCAATTGCAAAATTTTGACTGAAACGCAATGGCTCTCTTTGCGAATCATTTATATATTAATATTTATATATTTAAAATTTATTATATTTATATATTTGAAAGTTGGAAGGCGTTTGTCAGAACAAAAATGACCAGGTGCGCGCACTAATCTTGCTCTGATCTCATGTATATTATTGGATAATTATATTGGACAATAAAATCAATTTTAAAAGACGTTTCTTTAAACATCGAGGTCTAAACTCTTTGCTAAAGAATAATGACATTCTTATATTGCTTGTAAATTTTTCACTTGCAAGTACATGGGCGATATGGGGATACACATGCATACGAATGTGAAGCGGATTGGAATACGACTGCGAGTACAACCTAGCTGTTAGTTTAGCTCAGTTTAATTTAGTTTAGTTTAGTCAATAGCTCAGCCCGTTATTGTACTCTGACGCTCGACGTGCTGGCGAGTGCCGAAGAACCACCCTCTTCATTTGCATACAGGGTGTGCTCACGTAAATACTCGACTCGGAAAAGTCTGCCCTTGGCACATCAAAGGGACAGCGGCGCGAATTAACAATCCTCCTCTCCCGCGCGCAATCCCATCTCGCCCGCAAACAGAACCGACGAAATATCGACTTTGAATGTCATTTAATTCTTGGGCGTTTAGAATGGTTGCATCTTGGTGCGCGTTGATAAAACACGGTTGTTGGCGCGACTTCTCGGCTCTTGAAAAGTTCTTCGGATCTCTTGAGATAAAAGACAATAAGATGTTCTTGATCTAAGCAGATTTAACAGACATTCGCCTTCCAAAAGACATATATTCATATAATGTTAGATATTTTTATCGTCTATTAGAATTACACGCATTTTTATTAACTTAATCGATAATATACATGATGCTAGCGTTACTCAGTAATTCATCGTTTACAAAGAATCACATATAAAATAGTTCATTCTCTGTGCAGCTATTATATTTGTATATATACATATCTCTAGTGATAAAATGTATGCAAGGATTCTTTAAATGTTACAAGCCGCACATAGTTCAAGAAACGATGCAAAACGAGTGATCGAGACAGCAAGTCATCGCTTATCAAGAAAACAATTTTATAATAATTATATAGACCATATATTATACTATATATTATGTTTATAAGTAAAGAGTAATACTACCTATAATAAAAATCTCAATGCATCAATATATTGAATGAAATTAATGAGTAATATTGAACAGTATAAATAAATATAATATAGTAACGACACAATAATATAATAGCTTTGAGATACATATATATATATATATATATATATATATATATATATTTTTTCAATCTGTTAAGAATATAAAACTGATATATAAATTAAGATTTGTATTATAGATGATATTACATTAATTTGGCAAAAATGCATAAAGAATTAAGAATTATGAAGTATCTTATTGAAAGCATTATAAGATGTTTCAAGATCAAATATCAATTGTCTGACCTGAGTATCGGATAATTCATCCGAGGCAGACATATTGTCAAGAGTTTGTAACCATTCTGCAACTTTTTCTTTGCCATCAAAATCGCTTGGTAATATACTAAGACGGTTCATGGTGTCCATGAGATCCCTTAAATCTGGATGTAACTGATCCATAGCTTTGATTTCCAATCGTAGTTTATCCATAAGTGTGATAAATAATGAAACAATGTCTGCGATACATTTGGAGGTGTTGCCCTTGTCATCTTTTATTGTGATAGGTCTATCCTCTTTGATTCTCTCAAGTGCAGCTGGACAATCTAATCGAAATGCTCTGGTGAAAGAGTCAATTGTTGGAAACTGATCACTTTGTACCTGTAATAAAATATGAAACTTATTACAATCAATCTTGTAAATAAATATATTTATAAACATTAGATATGTATATTGAAGAATTTAGAAGTATTCAACTCTCGCTTCACGCTTCATATACTGACCTGCTTAAATGCTGCTCTATATTGTACTAACAATTTGCTGCATGCTGCCGTGTATTCCTTTGGAGTCACGCAATCCCTGATGTAAGCCTTTTCCAAATGTTGCAATGTATTTACCACAGCATACAGATCTGCTTGATTGTCATGCTTTTCTCTTTCTCGGGCATTTTTATAGAGCTTTACTTCTTCATACAATTCGGGACGATCTTGAGCTATCGACATTATTCTAAAACTATAAAAAAATATATCTCAAGAATGCTATTAAATTTTCTCAAGTTTGGTTAGATTAGTAACAACAAAGAATAAAGTAATATTCTCTCGTTATTAGTAGAAATTTCTCATTATATTGTCAAAGCAAACTCGTCAACTCTAGAAATTTATAGATTAAGCTTAAATTATGTATATAGTAACTCGATGCATTTAAATATTTAATCACTTGACACAAACGACAAGTGTTTCGGAGAAACATGATTACTTACTTTCACGATACACAACAGTAGGTACTATTAATTTTACTCGTCTATTCAAGGTAAAAATTAGGTAAATTATATTAAAATGTTAGAAACAATAAGTTATCAAATCTAACTGACGAAAACCAAACAAAGCCTTCCAGGAAGAGGAAAACACTAAAGGGGAGGAGAATCGTACGAAATGCAGAGCCATCTTTGTTAAGGCAACAATGATTACGATCGCTATGATTGACTTTATCTATTGTGAATCATAACAATTTCAAGAAACGTTTTATTTTATATAACATTTTACAACTTATTTTTTCTCAAATACAAAACTTTATTTTGCGAATGTATTATTTTTCGCAGATGTTAAAAAAAAAAACATTTAAGAAATATAATTATTTCACATCATAGCGATATTATAAATTATTTCATAACTCCTCAACACATTATAAAACTGTTTCATGACATAAATTGTACATTTGAACCAAACTATTACAACTTTATGAATAAATCACATTTTTTAATGTTATATTATTAAGAAAAGAAAAAGATTATATAATATTCGTATAACAAAATTATCACATATATAATTAAAGTTATAACAGCAGTCACGTATTAAAAAAATATAAACAGTTATAATAGCTTTAACTGTACTTTATAAATACTAGAATTCTCTTCAATAACTTTTTTGAACGTACAAGAAATATATATTTTTAGAAATCAAATATTTGTTGCATCACATCAGGTTTATCACTGTTAGGCTTTCTCGCACAGAATGGAAATTCTCTTCCTTCTTCTATGCAAAGGCAGTTAAACTCTTTGACAATTTGTTTCTTATGTTTATGCGAGTTATTCTTATTTCTAATAATATCAGGTACTTCGAGATTGTCGTTTATACTTATGTACGTTGCTTCCAAGGTAAGATTGTGTTTATCTAAAATATTCCAAGGCGGATAGACGTTTATCACAACTTCCGACGTCATTTTTAATGTACCGACAATATCACAGACTAGCATAATTGTTATATTCCTATGCAAAATTTCCTTTCGTTGTGCTTGAATATTATGCGATTCTGCTTCTTCAATTTCTACATCACATTGCAAGAGATTAAAAGTATCCTCGATCAAGGTTCCTTCCAGAAACTGATTGCCAAATTGCTTTCTACAGTTGCGTACAAATACACTGATGAACCGCATTGATGCAGCATCATGCTCCTTATTCAGTCGATGACGCCATATACGAACATTGGATACTTGTGCATTAATCAAAGACTGTAGTTTTGCAACCATGCTTCCTCTGAAACAAAAATATAATAATAAAAATCATGTACATATGTAAATCATGTACATATCATATAAACTGCATTTTCTCTGTATTTACTTATTATTTATTATTGTTTCTCACTTTTTAGATTTGCGACGTTTTTTTCCAGAATCCAAAAGTTGCGTATACACACTTTTGTCTGGAGACTTTTTTGATGGTGTAGTTATAGTACTAATAATTGCATCAGTTTGATTTGATTTGCTATCTGTCTTTTGAGTCGTTTTATTAAAAGATGGTACCTGAGAGATTTTTGCAGACAATGGTGTATTTTCATCCTGTATTGTTTCAGCTTCTGAACAATAAGTTTTGTCCAAGTGATCGGCAGTTAGTTGTAATAATGTAAATGGTTGTCTCGAAGGAATCAAGGATTTATTTGGTATTAAAAGCTGAGATGTCTTCACAGTTTCTTGTGTATCAACATCCTCTATGAGATCGCTCAGATTATTATTGCTACTACTACTTTGTGTATTGAAAAGTTTATTACATTCATCATTACTGCTACTACTGCTTTGTGTATTGAAAAGTTCATTACATTCATTGTCTTTGCTATCATTACTTGCATCTATTTCTATATTTGGGATTTTTTTATCAGTATTATTACTTGAACTGTCTTCAAAATTCAATATATCTTGTATCGGTGATAGAAACATTTGCCTATGTTTTTCTGAACTTTCTTTTACCTCATGTGAAGAAGAAATTGTTTTAATTTTGCCATCTGCATTTTCTTCCAACTTATCATAATCCAGAATACTATGATTATTATCAAGTTTTATTACTGGATTTATATTGGTACTTGTGACTTTATTATTGCGTAATTTTATATATTTTGGAGAAATGCCATCGTCTGATTCATGCTGTAATTTTCTTCGCTTCTTATAATGTGTAAGGACAGGAGATGTTTCATCAGTTTCATCGTCTGCACAAGATGGTGTGCAATGTGCCTCGCTTAAACATTCCTGTTGGTTTTCGTTCTTCTCCTTATTTCTTCTATAATCTAGTTTAGATTGTAGCATACAACTTGTAGAAGGTTCTGCGTTCTCGTGGGAATCCACATTGTCTATCCTTTCCACTCTAGCATGTGTATTTATATCGATCTTTTTCTTAGGTTGCTTCCTGCTATTAACGAGTATCGGTGATTTCTTGGAGGTATCAATCGACGATGTCCCAAGAACGGGCGACGATTGGGACCGATCGTCGTTCGATGCTACATCGTTCCCCTGAGTCTCCAGCCACATGCGTACGTAATCCTTCTTGTCTGTGCGCGGTATGTGAACCACATTCTGATCAATCACGAGAGCACGATCCGAGGTGGAATCCTGCTTCGGGGCGTCGAGCGCGAGGATCGATTTTCCAAAGTTCAGACGCCTCACGTGCCTCGGCTTGGTGTTGAACGACGCATCCCTGCTAGAACGACTGCAGCTCGATTCGATGCACTCTGACATTGCGAATAAATCCAATTACATATAGTCTGTTTTTCGCGACGCAAATTGCACAATCGCATACTTATATATTACATTAACACTATATCTATCTACACCGCATACCTATATTATCATCGCTGTCAAATGACGATAACAAGTCTAATTCGTCGCTATCGCTGTCGGATGATGATGAATCTATTAGCTCTGCAAGTGCTAGAAGTGCTATTGCTAACATTTTTTTTCTCAATATTTGGTCCATAATAACATGTGCAGTGTAATAACGACTGTTAGAAGGGTTAGAAGACGCCATGACACTAATGCCATTCATGCTCACAATCGCCAACGCTTCATTGGCTCTCCCAACAAATCTTGTAACGTCGCGTCTACGACTACAACGCGATAGGAAGCTATCCGAACGCACCCATAAAGGTGCAATTTCATTGACGCTAAAAAGTAGCGTCAATGAAATTGCACCTAATCGTGTCGTATACGCTGCCATCTTACTGTTGCCTTGACGATCAGTCTGCATCTTTGAACTGTCGCGTTCTAGATCAGACTTGAGCAGCATGCGATCGATCAATTTACATTTGTGAAAATATTATTTTTTATTAATTTAATTTATCTTCTCGACAGTAATTAATCGATTACACTTATTACTTATTCGATTTTTCCCTGATCTGAAATTGCAAGATAAATTTTTTTGTTTTGTTTACTATTTCATTAAACATCAAGCAATTCAATATACATCAAGAATCCACAATTTTTATTAGCAGCTAAGTTTGCAAAAAATTTAATTTAAAAATTTAATTAGAGTCTAAATAAATTTCAAAAAGTTAAAATAATCCTTAAAAAAGTTATAATTTTTATAAATTATTTGATTATGTAAACTTGGATTTGTATATAAAAAAATTGGCAGCAAAAATGGATTTTTTTATCACCGTTGTGTACATAAATGCTACAGAAGTATAAATATTGGATCTAATTAATTGCCTTTTAGCTTTATATGTATTTATAAATAAAATGTGAATGCGAGATAATTACGAAATATATACACTATATAATGATAAAATATTGTAACACGTACACATAATATTGCTACACTTCCAGGCTATATTTATAATAATCCGACAAATAATAAACAAGATATTAATAATAAATTTAGTATTTCCTAACAAGATATTAACAATAAATTTAGTATTTCCTAAGAATTATATATGAGAAATAAAATACATATTTTACATAACAAGAGATATGTATAGGGATGTTCTTTATACTATCACTATAGCATTTATTTTAATGTAAATAGCATCAGACTTGATACATCAAATATCAAATAATAAGATTTCCTTAATAACAAAAATTAAAAAATCCATTTAATGTCAATTTAACCAATTTAATTATACCAATTTAACAACAAAAGTCATTTCCATATGTACGTGTGTGTGTGTGTTTTGTTTCTCTAATTATCTTTTAGAATTATAAATCTCGTAACTATATCAATTATTATAATATTGAAGGAAATTAATTTTATTTAAAAGGAGAATAATAAAAAAGATTAATCAAAAAATGGAACGTATACATCGAAATTTTCCATTAAAAAAAAAATCGCATGACATATTTTTCTACTACACTGCACCTTCCCACTTGGATAGCGTGCTTAAATGTACAAATGCGAGATTTAGTGTGATAATATCCTGTCCTCCGCGGATCTGCCTCAATAGCATCCGCTATAGTCTGATTTGAGCACACGGATGTGTACGACTATCTTACCCTGCCGAGTGCTCTTATTTAAATGAAGCGACAAGATGTTCCTTCCGACCCCGTTCGATCATGATTGATATAAACCCTTACGCTCTTGAAGCGTCACGTCTTTGATAAACGTTTTTTATAGCAGAACGAAAACGCGTGTTTGGAAAAATAAGAAATCGATAAAATCCTTCTCTTATATAACTCTCTGAAAGAATAAGAAAGAAACGAAAGAGAGCTGTTCATTTATTTCTGAATAGAACAGAATATCTAATTTTTGTAAATTATTCTATAACGCGATAACGTATTATTCCATTTTAATTTTGATAATGTTATTTAAAAAAATTTAACTTCCTTCTTTTCACTTTGTAGAAATTAAAATGACGTATCTTCATCGAAGAAGGCAAGTATATCTTCGGATAGATTCAATCATCTCTGCGATTGCTGGGACCAAACGATTGAGAGAGATCAGTGAGAAGGAAAGAGAAAGAAAAAGAGAGAGAGAGAAGGAGAGAGAAACAAGGCGAGAAAGGGTTTAGGCCGCTGTGGAAATCTAAATCGTCGAGAGAGCACCGGGCTGTGCGGGCCGCGCGGACACAATTACCGGGCGGCGAGTGTCGAGGAACCCCTTTTATATATTAATAGTCGAGATAGCCGCCTATGTATGTGTCGCGTTTATACCGAGAGGGCCACCTCGGTTAGGACGATAGTTGGGAGCCAGGGGGGAGAGCGGTCCCGGAGGATCGTTGTCGGCAAATGGTAGGGGCGGAAAGAGGGGGTCGTGCGAGAGCGAGAGGATTCGAGAGGCTCGTACATCCGATCGAGGGAGATCGAGCGATCGGATTCGCGGGGTGGCAGAGGGGGAAGCCGAGGGGGGGCCTCGAAATGATAGATACGAGGCCGGGATAACGCGCTGGACCCCTTGCATCTACACACGATAGCCTCAGTTTCAGTTCGGTCACTTGCTCCTTCTAGCAGTAGATAGTGGTGCGCTTCTTTGCATTCTAGAGGAAGAGGGTGAGATAGATTAGCGGAGAAAAAAAGACGAGTTGAGAAAAAGTGGAAAAGTTAGAGAGTGCAATGATACTTTAGAAAGGGAAAAAAGAGAAAGGAAATCGAGAACGAAAGAAAGAAGGAGAGAAAAAGAGAAACGGAGAACGTAACAAGGGTAAGGAAGAGAGCAATTACGAAGAAATAGATCGTAACAATAAGTCGGAGGGGTGCAAGATTACGAGAGGACGACGTTCCGGATCATTTCATCGAAGATATCCACCGGAAAACTTCAAATCTGTCCCTTTATCTCGCGAATATCTTCCTGATCTTCTTCGTCATCCCTCGTCGGCGGTGCGCGCGAGGGGATGACTCACGACGGTGGTCCAAGACGAGAATTGTGAAACGCGTTATTTTCAATAAATACACGCGTAATATATACATATATAGATACGACATATCGTCATGGCAGAACGGAGGTGACCGGATGCCGGGCGGTGCAGTGATTCGATTGATTCGCTCAAGAGTGTTCGTGGCTTCCACCGAACTTCCGAGTGCCGCGTTAAGTGAATGTACGTGTACGTGCGTGCGTTTGTGTCTCTTGCTGCGTGCGTACGTGCGTGCTTGCGTGCTTGCGAACCAGCGTCAATCGGGGCCTTATACAGTGATCCCTTAGGCACTCTTGTGTACGTGCGGCTTACGAAGGAAGAAAAGGCGGTGAGTTTATCCGAAGTGGTCCATCCAAGAGAGCATCATCGTCGTCATCATCGTCGTCATCGTTCTCGTCATCAGCCCCATCTGCGCGCTGTCGCATTTCAATCAGCGTAGCACAGAGGAAATGACAGCCGGACGCGCGCGCTTCATTGAGCTTTCTTCGATCCTTGCGATAGGGAATCGCAGGGATTGATCGATATCAGGGTAAGACCGGATGATCATTCATTCACGAGGCTGAATAGCAATTACGAATTTGGTGATTTAGCGGAACAGATTTTTCAATCGGAATATTACATTATTTTAATGCTGACTGCAATTTAATTAATTCTCCGATTCGAATCGTCATATGGTAAAGTTAAAAAATATTATTAGTAACAATTGATTATCTGAGGATTTTACATTCAAATAGTATAATAGTGTAAATAAAAAATAAGCTATTAATCCCTTAAATTATCCCTTAAAAATCCCTTTTGATAAATTATCTTTTGATAACAAATGAAATATGAAAATATAAAATATATGAAATAAATATAAAATATATAAAAATGGAGTACATTATATGTCTTTCATAAAATGCACTTATTGATAGATAAATATTTCATATTAAAAATAATCGAGTCATCGAATTATGCGAAACTATATTATGCAGCATTAATATTAATGACACTTTACACTTTTTTGTTTAAAAATATGCTATTATGTCCAAAAATTCTTCCAGATATACGAAATCTTCTTTGCATTTGCATTTCATAACAGGTTCGATCAGTTGAGATCGCGTCAGAGAAATCTACGTCATAGTGAAACACGTCATCTCCGCTACCATTTCTCTTATCAGGCATAGCTATTATACAATCGCTAGTATAGACACGATTACAGCCTTAATTTGGTCAGGTACATAAATATAGATGATTCTTGAAATTGATTTTAAAACTCGAACTTCTAAAAATCGAATTTTCATACAACACTCATAAATATTTATTAAATAAAACTGTTAAATCTGTCGCGACGATAATTTTGTTAAATTGACAGATTATAAATTATCTATAATTACAATATTTGAAAATATGTGTGTGAGTGAGATTGCCAAGTCTTTACAAAGCAGAACGATAAATTTGTAATGTTATTTATAAATTGTCTCTCTTTCTATTTTCATTGTTGCAATGCAAAAAATTTAAAATACGCACAAACATACTTAAAAACATAATTTCCTCATTATTTTCTCGTACATCTTATAAATAAAACAACGTAAAATGCATCATTTATACATATATGCATTGCATCAATAAAATTTCAATTTCCATCGCGGAGAGCATTTAGTTGAAATTCCACAAACTAAGTAACATCTTTGCAGAATTTCAATCATCTTCGATAAATATCGTTATTGATTTTATTGGATATTATAATGAGTAACATTGTTGAAAATTTGTGACATCTTTGAAAGCATGCAAAATTTTCACACGTCTATTAAACTCAATAAAAAAATGTAAATACAATTTTCAATATTTCTCCTGTTATTCTTACAATATTTATCACGAATATATACTTTAATAGACATCTTTTTGATGCAATTTAACAGATATATTTCCTTTTTATATGAGTTGCAAAATTTACACGCGACAAATTATACATTATTAAATTATGGATTCTTAAACGCATTAAGAAATTAGATATTATTAAAAAAGAAAAGTACAATAAAACTTTTAGCGAGAGAAAATAAAAAACAAGAAAAATATGCAATTTCTGTAAAACTGCAGAAGATCCTACGGTATGGAATGCGTAAGAAGTATCGCGTAGGCGCGCGGATTCGCATGCGAACACGCAGATGACAAAAACAGCGGAGACGATGAAGTGGGAGATCGTGCACGGGGAAGAAAGAGAGGGATAGGCAGAATGCGAAGGCGTGCGAAACGGAATGACATTGTTTGCACTCGTGACGTCATCCGTAATTGTAACGAACAATGAGAGGCGCGAGCGTGCACATGCGTGCGTACGCACTCGCGTACCGTATGTTCTCCGAGTTCTAGAATTACCTGACGCCAACTATAACCCGTTAAATAAAAAAAATGTCAACCTTTTGTGTGTATTCGTGTGGGATTACAAATTGAAGAAACCGCCTGCGTAATTAGGATTTGTATACGTTATATAAAGACACAATAAGAGAGTATGATTTAATTATCACAGTATGATTTAATTATCTATTATTGTTCTACTTTCAAAAAAGGAAATATTTTTTTATTCTTGTAAAAAATATTGATAAATATTGTTGATTAAATTATCAAATTATCATTATTGATTATTTTATTAGGAATAAATTATATTATTAATCGAGATTATACTGTAATAAGAATCGAAATCTCGAACAAGATGCTATTGTTTATTGCTAATCGTTTTGATACAGAACAGATTACAAATTAATGTTACTTATCTCGTACAAATTCTAATTAATGGGATTTTATTTCAGTTGAGATTGATAAGAGAATATGAATTTGATTTATTGATGAAAACAAGTTAAGCTGGATCCGTTTGCCATTACAATTCTCCAAAGAATAGCATTCGAGTTAAGTTATGACGTTCATTCAAAATACGACAATTACGAAGCAAATGGATCAACTATTTTGTATGCATATCGTTATCAGTCATACGAAATTATACGAATATGGCGTACCTTATTGCATGCAAAGTTACATTATCAGTTTGCTTATGAGATTATTAGCTTCAATTTATAAAATTATAAACATTTTACATCATCAAAGATATTTCAAATTACTTGCAGATCACGATCACGCCACATCCTAATAAAAACTCTACAGGTTGTTTCCAGAAGATAATAAATAAAATCTTGGCAATCTTGGCATTTTAAATCTTTTTTTCATCTTTATCAATACTTGATGAGAGAAATAACAGTAAAAGGAAAAAAATTCAAAGATAAGATAGAAACGTGTGCACTACACGATGGCTTGATTATTGACGATTTCGTGACAATATTAATTTGTCGACAAGCACGTAGGCATGTCCCCAGGCAGCAAAGTCTGTTCAAACAGATTTTGCCAATTTCTGCTACAAATTTTTGTCGACAGTAAGATTGCATATTGTATAAAAAATTTGTTATATCAAATAATGATAACAGAATGTCAGTAGAAATGTTACAAAACCTGTTGACATAATTTGATAGCAGAAACTAAACAGGATTTGTTTAAAATGATCATAGCAGATTGGTGGCAAAAATCTAGCAAGATCTGCGCAACACAGTTTGATATTAGATTGATTGCAGAAATCGAGCAAAATCTGAGTAATGCAATTTGATGTCAGATTGTTGGCAGAAATCGAACAGAAGTTGTATAAAATTATTATAGAAGATTGGCGACAAAAATAGAGCAGGACCTGCGCAAAACAGTTTGATGTCAGATTGATTGCAGAAACCGAGCAGGATCTGCGCAATGAAATTTGCAATCAAATTCTCAGCAGATATCGAGTAGAACCTGCTGATATAACTGACAGCATTACAAGATGAGAAATATATAATAAATATTATGCATCTTACAGAAAGATTAAATATCAAAGAGTAATAAATGCTGAGATCGTTTACGAAATACAACATACAATGATAAATGACATGACATAACACATATAGATATTTTCTTTACTTTGTTAGTAGTTGATAACTGAATATATATTAGCTAGATACGCACAATGTATAAATAAAGTTACGCTCGCATGAGATTCTTACATCTATAAAAAATATAAAAAAAATTAAATTGCAATACGCAGTCAATTTATTGCAACTCATGGCAGCGGATGATCGTAATTTACGAATGAATTAAAAGCGAACAGAGAAATATGTTTATTTTCCTCTACTTATCATAGTCCACATCAAATGATGTAAATTTGAAATTACATGTTATTATTCTCAATTGCCGATAGGAACGCATTTCTACAAGTCGATGCATTTTGTTGAGATAATGTTTTCTGTGAATCTCGTTATTATTGTATTTATTCGATATATAATATCTGACATTTCATCTTTTATGAGAGTACATATACATTGGCCATAATAATTCATGCTAAATTGTTCTTTCATAAAATTTAACTGAATTTTATATGTATCAACTGAATTTTATTATTAACTTATTTTTCGATTCTAAGAAGAAGGCAAAAATTCAATCAATCTTTATTAATGATTGCAAAAACTATTTATAAGAATCTTCAAATAGACACGCTATTAAATCATTATTGTATGAGAATTTTTCTTTTCCTCATATGTAGTTTCAAACATGTTTCCGCATTCCAATTTTATATCTTATTTTTAAAATCTTGGCGAAGAATTGGCCTTTCTTTGTCTTATTACTTAAAAACTTGTGCTTTATCAAATTAAAAAAAATTAATAAAAAAAAAATTAAATACACCCTTTTAATTTAAAAGGACAGTTTTACTACTGTAGGAAGAACGCGCAATTCTTCTAACGTCAAGTGAGTGAGAAATTGCATTCTGCTCGCACTGTTGCATCTACACATTCCGACGCTGTGAAAATAATGCAACACATCTCGACGCTGTGAAAATAATGCTACGAAGATAATAGAAGATATGCGTACTCTTTTGTCGGAAGACGCGAAATCGAATCATTCCTTTTTACTTATCACATAAGCGTGCTTTTATTTATCTCTCTTTTGTTATTTTTACAATTTTTCCGGTACGCGTGTGTGTGTGCAAATTTTTCATATTTTATCGACGCACTTTACCGATGATCTAATTGTGGAGACCCAATCTAATTAGGTTAATAAGTTCGAATAAAAGCGATAAAAGCGCTCGGATTTTTTATTCATCATCCATTTACGTTATATGAAGATCGGGATTTAAGAAGCTCTCGATATATTTATGATTAATTAGAAATTTTTTATTGATTTATTTTAAATGTGTCTAAAGAAATACTTATATTTATGATTTTCTAATTTCGATTTTTGTTGATTATTTACGTTTTTAGATATGTGTTGAATAAGATTAAATTAATTTTAATTGAATTAATAAAGCAGATCCATATCGCAAATAGTGTCAGAGTGATGTAGAAAATAAATGTTATAGATGAAAAATTAAAATTTCAACAAGATTATTTACACTGAATTTAAATTCTTAAGTGGATATACATAAAATTTGAGAAAAACGTGAGGAAACTTATCGTATTATACAGATTTCAAAATGTAGAGCTCATAAGTAGTTATAATTGACGCGCACAAATGCAAACAAATTAATATCCCGAGTAATAAATCGTGTAAAATCCCGATCTTGAGAAGCTATAAGAATTGTTTCTATAACTATTGTAGTGAATAACATAAATCTTTGAAAGATCTATACAAGTTTTATAACAGTAAGAGGATTTCGCTACACTTTCTCTCTCGAGAAAAAAAAATGATGGGAGAAATATCCTTCGTCAACATCAACGTCAAGAAATAAATCCCCCATATCTGTTATCGTTAAACGATATTATTCAAGCCTCATCATTTTTTCAGATAACCGCCTCGCGATTCTAACATGTTTTTCCAGAGAAACGTTTCTTCGAAGACGAGGGGACGCGGAATTTGACCCTCGTGTCAGAATCCGCCGGCCTTATCTCCGTCGTGACGATTGTGCGCGTCGCACGCGGAAGCTAGCGAATAGCGAGCACTTACGATAGCGTGCACTATGAAGGGAATTTCGTTTGCAGAAAGAGAGAAGGAGAGAAAGAGAAGCGGCGAGGCGGACGAGCGTCCGGAGACTGCGGTAACGCGCTTGATCGAGAAGCGACGACGGCGGTGACTCTCGATCAGCCGAGAGAGGAGGAGGCGAGACCTCGACGAAGATGATGTTCGGTAGAATTAGACGAGAGGAGGTCTTCTCCGGCAATGGCTGATCGTCGCGATGCCCGCGGCCTATGAGTCGCTCTATCGCGCGGACGACGAAGACGACGACGACGACGACACCATCATCATCATCATCATCATCAAGTCAAGAGCCGATTCCGGGATCTACGCTGATCCCGTGATCGCGATCGTGACGTAGCGAGCGGACGAGGAACGCGGAGGATGAAGGGACGGTCCCTCGTAAACGAGGAACCGCTGCGTTGTCGCGAGTGAGTCGCGAGCGGTGCCGAGAAGTGTCACAGTCGCAGCAGCCAAGCTGCAGCGAGAGCGGCGAAGCGCGTGTCGAGGGAGAAAGAGATAACGGGAGAGTCAAGTGGACGCACGTCACTTCCGTAAACAATCATGAGGGTGAGTGAACGTCGACCTGCGTAGTGCCGTGAACGAACGAATCGGATTCTTCAGTGGAAGAAGTTTGCGTGATCAGACGAACGATTCGGGGGACTCGCGAAATGCGAAGTTCAATATTTGACTTTGGGCTACCTGCGGTGATTGTTCGAGATAACGATACTGTAAAGATTGTCAAATGTTTGACGAGAGGATCAGCGAAGATTAACTCGATTCTTTCGAGATAATAGTGGTGGGGTGAAAGTGAAGAGTCGCGAGTGGAAAAAGACCGATTGGGGCCAGACTGCGCGATCAAGTGAGTTTACTCTTTTTCCTATTTTTTTTTCTTTTTATCCTCAAATTTTCGCGATTGAGACACGATTCATGTCCTCCGAAGCGTCAAGGATCAAACTGATCGAGCGCGATACTCGGCGCTTTCGATAATCTCTCGAAGGGGATTCGGTCGGCGCTGATCAGACTCCATAAAATCGTACTCTCGATACGACATGCGACATGAAATGCGACCCGTTCGTTCCAGCCGGATGGAAATCGGCATCTCGATCCCGATCAACCGCGATTCGCTAATACTCTTAATGATATCGTGCGCGATCCTGGATCCCCGAACGACCAGATTAGCGTTCTAATACGTGTCCGAATCGTGGAAAGCTCGTCGCTCTCGCAAAACAGGCCGATTCGACACGCTCGGGGTTACATCCGATCCAGTGTCCAGGCGGCAGAGGGACGGCAGGAGGACGAGGAGGCGAAGGAGGAGGACGAGGACGAGAAGGTGGAAGAGAAGGAGGCGGGGGTGGAGGTGACGAGAAGAGAGCAGGCAGCGCCAAGGAGGAGGAAAGACTTCCTCGGCGCGCGGTCCAACGAAGACGGGCGGGAAACGTGCGTTTGTAATTCGGCGTGGCTGCCTTCGAGGATGAGCGACGGCGGTCATGCCGTGTAATTCGAAGGTGTACCACGCATCGTGCACGATCGTCGCCGTCGTCGTCATCGCCACCGCCGCCGCCACCGCCGCCGCCGCTACCACCGTCGTCGTCGTGGTGAAGCTGAGATTGAGACACGGCAGAGTCGCAGAGACACCGCCGGAAAGATGAGCTCGATCGACTTCGACGAGGTGCTGGTACACGTGGGAGAGAAGGGCCGATACCAGAACATCATGTACTACTTGCTGTGCATACCCGCCACCCTGCCGGCCGCCTTCTTGGCGTTCTCGCAAGTAAGCGCTCCTGTCTCTTGTTATGCTTCGTTTCAGGAGGTTTGAGGGTGGTTGCAGAAACCAAGATTGAACGCTGAATGAAAATCGCGACTCAATATTTTTAAAAATTGCATTCTTAATTCAAATAGTTTCGAATATATGAATATTCCTCTGAGATTTTTTTTAATATAATTAAATTATTATATTAGATTATTATGCAGATTATTATACAGATTATTAATCTTTCGAAATTAGTCGAAAAATTTTGATAATGATTTCTTTTTGATTATTTATATAATATGATGGTAAAAATTATTGTTTAATATTCTATATTAAAAAATTTTACAATAATTTATATCTTGAAAAAACATAAATTGCGAAATTACAACGCGTAAGATAAATAAATAGATTTAATTGGTAAATTGAAGCATGTCGTTATAATTAACATCGCGGTATTAAATTATGTCAACAGTTTTGCTAACAGATAAAACATAGTTACTGCTATTACGTGCGCATTTTAATGCAGAGAAATTTCACGAAAATATAATTTAATGCATAACTTGACAATTTACTCTCTTGAAATATAAAATGTACGAAAACAAACAATAAATTAATAATATCGCAGGTATTTAAATTCATAAAATATCAAACGTATTTATATTGAATTTCACGGAAATAAAGTCTATTGAATTAACGAAATTAGATTAAATCGAGGCAATATTACAAACAGTATCAGATGCGAAATACATCCGAGTTATCACACATTTTTTATTTAAGACTTTCAATTTCGGAACAGGTGTTCGTGAGTGCCTCGCCAGAACACTGGTGCAGGATACCGGAGTTGGAGAACCTGACGGACCTGATGTCGTTGGAGGAGAGGAAGGCGCTCTCGCTGCCCTACTCGGTCAAGTCTGACGGCAGAAGGATTTACTCCAAGTGTCAAATGTACGACGTGAATTACACGGAGATAATCGATTCGTGGCTGCAATACGTCGACGATCCGCAGAACGTCACTGACGGCACGTCGCTGCCGACCACGTCGTTTCGTCCGTCGACGAGCCGATCGCCGCCGGTCAGCAACCCCGACTGGCCGATCAGCAAGTGCCGGTACGGATGGAACTACGACACCAGGGACTACGACAGCACCCTCGTGACCGAGGTAAACTCGACTTTCTCTCTTTCACCTCTCTTTGATAGAGAGAAGGACAGAGAGAACGAGAGACTGCATGCTGCTCGCTCGTCGAAGCGACTGTTTCCGTCATGAGGCACTCGAGACATTCGTGTCTCGCACTGATTGCGTGTGGGCAATGGCAGTTTCTGCGGATTGTTTGGATGGCTTTAATGTAAGAGAAAATCCGAACGCTAATTTTTAAATTTAATTCCTTGATAAAGAAAAGAATTATTCTTTGACGATGAATAATCGCGTAAAGAAATCAATACAAGGGATATAAAATTATAAAAATCAAAGAGTATACATTCTGCGTTCTTTCCTCTTACAGACATGCCTAATTTGCTAGTAATAATGTTGTTATGTGTCGTTACGCAAGTATAATATATGTTGTAAAGAATTTAAATCATTGCGGGTAATTTCGACTTTACGAGTCGAATGGCTGCGTATTTCTCAAATACAAAGTACATGCCTATAAAAGAAACCTGTGAAACGACGCGTAATAATGGCGACTATAATTGCTGAAAAATTACGAAATGTTGATTTACTTGTTTCCATCGTCTACCGTCAAATTGAAATTATTCAATTCGCATTAATTTACTTCTTCCTCGATGACAAATTAATTTTATATTAATAAAATTATCGTTATAAAAAAATTATAAAATTTTATCGTTATAAAATTATTATAAAATTATTATAAAATTATTATAAAATTAATTTTAAAATTAATAATAAAATTAATTTTATAATGATAAAGATCTCTTATTATATGCTTGAAAGATGGAACGAGAAATTTCTTTTTTCGCAAATTCGCAAAAAGAGAAAGAAGCGATTCTCTCGCGCGAGTAACTTTGATACATTGTAGCGCGAAATATGGCACGACGATTTGCTTAATATTCCTACTATTCGGCCTTAATCATCATCAGCGAATTTCTTCCTTGCATAGCATCGGATTTCACCCACGTCGCCTTGGCCTTTGACTTCGTAGCGCTGTCCCAGTGACGATTGTGCATCGCGCTGAGCTTCTGCGGTCCCGTTCGCGGAACGAAATTACGTGTCTCCGTGACGATCTCTCATTTTTCCGTGAAGTATTTGTCGACGATGATGGGAACGATTGGCGCGAACGGATTAAACGGCGGAGAGCGGATTACGCGCGATTAGGTCCGATTAAGCGCGATATCGTGAAATCAAATGTTGAGAGACGTATCATTCCCGCGTTTATTATCTCACCGCGATTTCCATCATTGTCGTAAAAAAAAAAGTTCCCACCGCTAGAGGATTATATTAAAAGAGGAAATAAGATTTTTCACGATGATTAATATTATTCAGTAAAAAAAAAATAATACTTCTTATCGAATGTGATGAGATTAAAGAAGGAAATTGGCCTATTAAAGAATAGCGTGCTTGCAACTAACTACGCGAAGCAATTTTTCCAACATGATGTGTGAGATTAAAAGTGCGCAAAATTAGCATGTCTCAAAGCAGTCTTATTCCTCAGCGATTCGTCACATCCTCTGTCTACAACGAGAATCATTCGTCTCGCTTGCATGAAATCCTCAATGTCGCTCGTAAACATATTTATTATGAAGATTACGTTTCCGCTATCAAGTGCGCAAATGCGAGAACGATATTTGAGAAAATGCGAATTTGCATTTTTGACACTTTTTTTTTACCAAAATTATTTTATATATAGATGCGGATCACGTGCGATTTATTTTACTTCCGAGAGCACCGCCTCGCGCTATATTTGTAATTTTACATCTTGTTTTCGTCGCAAAACGTCACATCTTGCAGAAGACCAGGCAAGTCCGCGTTTAATCAAGTTAACACCACGTATCGCGTTTCCGAAAGAAGTCGTAACAATTTTCCGCCGTACATTTAAATATTGAAGAAAACAGCTGGACCCTGGAACTGGGTAAACTTCGCTGTCATGTAGCAACAGTCGTAAGTGTTCATTAAGACATTATTAAATTGCCACAATTAGACAACGCGACATGAACTGTTGACGTAACGGGGATCGCAATGCACGGGGTCGAAAATCTGAACGTTCTTTTTGTGTTCCTCTTTTCTTTTATTCAGTTCTACTAATCTTATTAAGCCGATTGAATCATAATTTTATAGCGGGCATCGTTTAAGAAAATTATTAACTGATGATGAATTTGAATATTGATTACGAGATAACGGCTATAAAATTTTGCATAGAGATAATGCATGACTGGAAATTTCACGGCAAATCCGCATTATCGAAACAGCGAAACAGGGATGCTTTTTTTAAAAGTAAATACGTCTCGAAATTGTATGGGCTGTATTTATTTTACCTATCTATATAGTCACGGATATTATCTGCGTGAATTCGTTCGTTTATATGACGCCGCTTATGATAAATCAGAGAATTATTATTAATTTTCTCCGTGCATTCCTCAAAATATCTGATAAGCGCGATGTTAAACCTCAGTATCGCATTTATGTTTATTCTATATTTATTCGTTCTCTCCAATGTTTACGCGCCCTGTTGTCGGTTTTTATTCAGTAGAATTACATGAATTACAACCACTGCATTTCCGTCCTTTTAATTAATCATCCGTAAAATTTATTTAACCGACGTGAAATACAACGGCCGAATTTAGCTCTCTTTTGTAGAGAGATTTAATTTAATACGATAAACGCGTGGGAAATAAATTTATTTGTAAATGTGTCCTACGCGAGATGCTACATTATTATCGAATTAGGGAATAAATTATTATTGGAATTGTGAAAAATTTATTGCTTTTACGGTTTTTCGGATTTAAAGAGGATTATTATATGTAACAATTTTCTATAAATTATTATAAATGATATGAGATTTTAAATTCTGGATGAAAAAAATAACTGATAATTTGCGTCATGCGTGGATGACATAAATAATTGATGAGTAAATTTTTCGAAATCTCGAGAAGAGTAACGTTTCGCGTTAACGCACGGATTTCTAAGATACCGTCAAAGGGTCGATTCGCAAGAATTCAACAACGAGAATCATCAACAGGTGAACAAGGTTGATGAGCGACCGAGTGACTGGCCGATAGGTTGCAGCTCTGGTGGCGTCAGCAATTGCCGACCAATTTACCTACCCCCGCATCCGGTCATGTGATATGTCACATCAAACGCCTCGCACAAACTGCCAGCTCTCTTCATGTAGAGGGTATATGTTCCTACGTACTTGGTCACTACCGGATTCAACGTGACAAGCTTCCGTTTTTTTTTCTTCTTTTTCTCTCTTTCTATCTTTTTCTTTCACATTTTCACGTGTTTTTTTTCGCTTTTATCTTTTTTATTGAATATTCAACGAGATATAGTATAATTTGCATTTTTAAAAATAACTAATGATATTATTAAAGACATCAATGTGCAATGTGTGTATGTGTATTTTTAAAGTGTCATTCGAAATTTTCCAATTATTTAACTTTCCTAAATATTTACTTGATTAGCATCACTTAATTAGCACGTTTCGTTAGAACGAGATGAAATTATTATCTTAAAATGCTTATCCGATTTAAATTTTTTTTTCGGATGTGTTTGTTTATATATCGGACGAGGGAGAAACAAGAGGCCAGAATGGCAAAAAAAACGCGTGGGCATTCGCCTTGTATCCTTTACTTCCGATCCGATGATTTATTGTGCTCGATTTAGGAGCTCCACTCTAATGACACTAGGCCGCACGAGACCGCGGAACAGGTCATTGTCTTTTCCGTGTCGACATATGACAAGCGGCCAAGACGAATATACCACAATATCCGCCACTTCCTCTCTCCCTCCGCCTGAATTTAATTTATAGCATGCTAAAATAATTTATATACATATTTCGTAATTTATATCACATTTATGCGTAATTTACATCGGTAGCCTCTGCTGTATATATTTATAAGGCCATTATAATTACAATTAAATTGATTTAGCCTTCAAAAAATATATTTTCGGTAATTCTATTATCGTAAATGACATAATAACACCGATTATATGTAAACTATCTTTTATTATTAGTATCATTTTCCGTAGTTATTTTTTTATGCATTTATAAAAAATAGCTTTTGCTAACTTGTTATTTGCAGTAACTGGACAAATCATTTTCTAAAATTAATAAAGTTTTCTCTTGCTTGTTCTATCTTGATTTCTCGGACTACCGTCATTTTGAATATCACGCGGACCAGCAAGCATCTTAATGGATTATGAATATGCATGGATACGTGAGAATGCTTGAAAATCGCTGACTTTAGATTGATGTTCAATGATCTGAATAAAAAATCCTATATTAAAACGAAAGCATATACGCAATAGATTACGAAATTCTTCATCTTAAATCAACAACGAAAATAATTTAGACTATAGAGATTAAATTAGACTATATAATTTAGACTATAGAGATTAAAAACATCCATTGCACAAAAAAATTAAGTTATTTATACTTTGTAACAAACACACAAATCAATCATACTAATATCTTTTCTAAGAATTTTTAATATATGTTTTTAATATATGTTTTTTTCAAAGTCACATTTAATGTGACTGATTTAATTTCAAAGTCACATTAATATATGTTTTTTTCAAAGTCACGTTTAATATATGTTTTTTTCAAAGTCACAAAGTATTTTAATTCATTATGTGAAAGATACATCGTGATTATCTCGTAATCGAAACAAAGCATAAAGCAAAGCAAGCATCATGGAAATAATAAAAGGGGATGAATAAAACGAACAAGTGCAACATACGATAGAAAATGATAACGATACAGAATGGAAAATAGAAGGGTAGGATTTACTTATCTTTGCGTCATATGTTTGCATAAATCCGAGACATGTAAATTCGCGGTTCGCGTACATCGAGTTTATAAATAATGGCTGTGATCTTATTGTTACATGAGTATCGTGTGATAAATAGAAACTTTTGAGTATTGTGCTATTATTTGAAGTTCAGTGTACGTGGAAAAATGCATCACAGATTTAATTTGATTAATTAAATCTGTGATGCATTTTTCCACGTACTTTTTTTTTCCTATCTTGTGATTCCTATACTTTGCAATAAATTACATGTAATTATGCCGTATGTATTTTATCGAATTCAATATCGATTTCGAATCTGTGCAACAAATTGCATAAACAATCGCTAAAGCGAACGGTATCGCGGTCATATCAATATCAAGTGATTTCAAAGTGTGTCAGGGTGACAAAATACATATTATGTGTTATTAATGTCCTTATGGGCGGCGCGCACTGCCCTTGACAATAACTCGATAGCATCAGCGGGTGCTCTTCTGCCTTTCCGCGCAATTTATCTTTTGCGCGTTTCGCACAGACCTCGAAAGTCCGTGAGTGGCAATTTGCTTAAATCAAACTTCGTGTCAAAGCCATTAAAACGTACCGACAGACTTTATTTGTCGAAGCGCTAATAGGCACTCGATTAAGAGATTTTGTTTATTCAGCTCGTACGTGGGTTGTTTTTGCGAATAACATTAATTATATATCTTTACATCCGAGCATGTCAAAGATGTAAATCACGCAGTTGCATGTTATCTTTTAGGGAGAGAGAATTTTTGAAGAAAATACGCGCGATGCTCTATTTTCCTTATTTTATTCCTTATTTTTTTCAAAATTTTATCATTTCGCGATACCAATTTCGGATGCTAAATTATTCTAAACTGTTGTAAAGACACTTTTTCTTATAAAATTGATTAAGAATAATAAATACTTATCAAAGGCATCTCATTGGAATTTAATTGTCTTTAAATATAAATTTATATATATGAGAACGTATTTTTTTCAGTCATATTAAAAATTACAAAATTTGCGCAAATAACTCTTATGCATTTTATGTAACTCCTTCAGCAACATTCGGAAAAACAAGTTTATTAGAAAATGTAATTTTCCAGAACATATGTATACACAATTCTTTAATTAGTATCATATTAAAATGCAGTGTACACAGTAGGCGTCTATCGTCATCATTTGCATTGACAAACATACGCTCGTTGAGATGATCACATCGGTTTTGTCGCGCGAGATCGTGCACGAGAGAAAGAGAGACGGGGAAGTTTAAAGGGCGCAGAGGAAGGGGGACCGTGTTCCTCCTGTCAAACGAGGGTGATGGACACCTCTCACTGTGGGAAGCTTACCAATACACCTTGGCGTCCTTCGGACGAACACGCGCGTCCGCATGCGAGCTTGCAATTTACATGCAGACCTCGTACACGTACACGTAAGCGTGCTCTCCCCACTCGCGATAAACACGAGCGCATTTACGGTGGTAGCCTTCCGCGTGAACGCAACGAGATGAAACGCCTCTACCATCGCGCTGTACTGGTCCAGCGCAGCATCCCCTCCGCCCTCTCCCTCTTTCCAGCTTCCAACCACTGCTCCATTCTTTGAAGCGCGCACGCGGGTGCGTGTGTCATCCAGCGATGCTGGACCGACGAGCAAATGACGATCAACCGAATGACGCGTGTGTTCACACGCGTGCGAGCACGCAATCCGGTTCGTCGCTAATGTTGGCGCACAGCCCGCCGCATGTACGCCATTGTAGCGGCTGTATAGAGCACTTTATGACGTTTACCGTCAATGTCAGCGAATATCCACCATGACTTTGTGGCCAATCTGTGCACTTATGAATTTTTTAATTTAATTCAAATTTTTTATATAATTTAAGAAAAGTTTTCGTATCAAATTCTAAAGTACAAGATATGCCTGCATAAGCTTAGATTATCATCCTAGACAGCCATATGCTACATGAATTTTTATAGTATTTTTGTAGAATGCGAGTTCTAATTTAATTTAAAAATCTCTTTAATGCATTCTAATATTATAGCACTTGTATTCTTATATCGTGACGCAAATCGTGAGATACATGTCGATTATATCTTTATAAAATTTGAAAATCATCAAAACAGTTCGCAATCAAAACAGTTTGCAATTGCATATCATGTGTATTATATACATATGTATACGAAAAGAACGATAGCGGAGCAATGACTTCTTCGCTTCCCGCGATATCGATTTATCTCCTCGAGTTGTTATATGTCGATATTTATAATCTAGTTAGTTGTGAGAATTCCGTTCTAATTGGAATCTTATTTGTATAGTAATTTTTTTCATACTCGACTGTTTGGCGTTCGATTAGATAAGCGAAGTGAAGAAGCTATGAAACACTTTGATTAATAAAAGCACGCATGCTTTTCTCGACTCAATTATTATCAATTAATAGCACACATAGTTTATGAATTATTTCTATTATAACTTAAACATAACATTAATAATATTTACGCTTGATATTTTTATATTTTATTATTTTTCATTTTCATTTCCATATTTATTATTGTTATGCCACTAATTGAAAATTATTCCTTCAATTGATTTCCTTGGTTCACTTTCGCCAATATGCAAAATATTAATATTCTTGTTGGCGAAGTAGTTTAATGGCATTCTATATCCACATAGCTAGATCTGGTATGTGACAACAGCTGGTGGCCTTCCACGTCGACGACTTTCTTCTACGTGGGAAGCCTCTTCGGCAACGTTGTGTTCGGTTGGATCGCCGATAAATGGGGCAGAAGAACGGCTTTCTTCGCGATTCTGTTTCTCGAGGTGATATTCTCCATCGCCACGAGCTTCAGTCCGAATTACGTGATCTACACCGCGCTGAGGACTGTGAATGGTCTCTTTTTTCCTGCCATTTATCAGATACCTTTTATACTTGGTACGTTAATCACACATAATTTAATTATATATAAAATTTAATTAGTTATATATAATTTAATTAGTTTAATCCAATTTTAAGTAAAAATGTTACTTTAAAGTTCGAGACATATTTATGATCCATCATCAAATTGTGATATGATGCATCATATCACAATTTATAATTTGACGAAAAACTTTAGACAAATTTGTTGAAAAAATTTAATTTTTAATTTTATATACATTGTGTGCAGAAACAAACATGTACGATTAAAAAATATACACAATATACATCATATACAAAATATACATCAAGATACATGTATATTCGAATATGCATAAAATCAAATTATAAATAGATGTATATTTTAAATTATTTATTCGCAAATTAAAGATCATTTAAAAGCGAACTTAAAAGGAGGAGAAAGAATCAGAAAGATTGCAACGTCTTTCTAAATAAAAGATCAACAAAGATTCTTCATGATAAATTTCATTATAGCTCTCGAGCTGATGGGACCAAGATATCGGACATTTGCCGGAATGGTAATCTGTATGTTCTTCGCTACGGCAATGTCTCTTCTGGCGTTGCTGGTAAGTGTCCTCATTCATAAAATGTGAAAAAGCAAAGTACAGCAATGTACAACAACGTTTCGTGATAAAAATCTCGACGTCGCGACACTCATATGATCGCGCGAGGCGACAGCTCGTGCACAATAAACTTAACGCGAGAGTACAACGCGGATCATTTTGCAAGCGATCTATCAGCGTGCATCATATGGTTCCAGCGTATGCAAATGCGAGTGATTCGCTGCATGCAAATAGAAACATTCAGATGTTCCTGAAGTGACGTGCGCGACAGAGATAATAAATTCGAAATAATGTTTTCACGCCGAATTGCGTTCTTAACTCTAAATTTAATAAAAGTTAAGATATTATAAATATAATTAAGATATCATAATTAAATATTTTAACAAAAATTAAATTAATATTATATATATTAAAATTATATGAAGAACTATATCAAAAATTATGTTAAGGAAATATTCATGGTGAAATTCCAAAATATTTATGTGACGCAAAAGAGGCCATAGAGATATAAAAGATTATTTTTTGTTTTCATTCGCTGGTACATGCTTTTATTTTTTCTTTCCGTCAGGGATATTTATTAAGGCACTGGTACACCTTATCGTTAGCCACATCGGTGCCTTTCATTCTTCTCTTCAGTTACTACTGGATCATCCCCGAGTCACCGCGGTGGCTTCTTAGTAAAAACAGAATAGACGAGGCGGAAGTAATAGTTCAGAATATGGCGAAAATCAATGGCAAAAAAGTGCCTAAGAATTTCCTCAGGAAAATGGAGGTAATTTTGTTTGATATTTAATTATTACAATACATATTTCTTCGCGAAGTTAGTTTACAATGTATAAACAATATATCCTATTTTTTCACTCTTTCAATATAATCGAGAAGATTGTATGAAATTTAGCGATCATTATTTGTAGATAGAAATATTAAAGAGGCAAGGAATATCGTGTAATGGTAAGAATTCCAACGACGGCAATATCGACATCGAGAGCGAGAACAGATCACCGCCAACATCCGCGACTCCCATGGACCTGATTACGAATCCGAATATCAGGAAAAAATTCTTTATTCTCGCTTTCGATTGGGTGGCGAATGCGGTGGTGTACAACGGACTGTCTTACAACACGACCAATCTAGGTGTCTCCGATTATTTGGCTTTCTTTATTGGTAAAATAATTCTTTTATCTAGATTTAATTATTATAAAAATTTCACGAATATATCCGAAATTTATGAGATTTTTTATGTTTATTTTCTACAGGAGGTATCGTAGAGATTCCATCGTACTTCATTACGTGGTACGCAATGGACAGATTAGGCAGACGATGGGTACTATGCGTGACCATGATGCTGGGTGGTCTCGCTTGCGTGTCGTGTATGTTCGTGCCCGAAGGTACTTTGTCGATTCATCTCTTGCTCTAATTCAAATCTCCGATAAAAAAAAGAGTAATTTTCTTTCCCAAACAATTCTATTCTTGAAATTAATTCAACAATTCTACTCTCGAAATTATTATTAATATTTTTTCATTTTTATTATATTTTTAATTATTTAAATATTTTTAATTCATTTTTTTAATAATAGCGAATATCTTTAAGAAGCGAAAATGCAGAACAATACAAAATAAATATAAATGTGTAATGCTATTACTTCGCGTTGCTCATCTCCATATTATTTGATTATCTTCGCGAGATTGAATAAAAATATTAAGCCGAATCGCGCTTCTGCGTCACGGCGGCCTCAAACGTCATTAGCTTATTGAATTCGTCATGATATTATCATACTTACACACGTTTAATATGAACGTGAATTACCGTCGTGCCGACGTCACAACGTTTATGAGTAAACGTTCGACCTGCTTATAAATTAGTTATTATCCGCACGCATAACTTCTCTTATTAGAAATCAACGAAACGCAAGTGTCAGATTTTTACGTCTTAAAAATGAATCAGCGGAAGAATTTAAGACAATGAAATGTGCGATTCTAATCAAGAGATTCAGGGAATATATAACTTATATACAACTTATAACTTATATACACGATCGGACTTTGTCGCAGCAGACGCGGTCTGGGTGACCGTAAGCCTGGCGATGATCGGGAAATTCGGTATCGCTGCGTCCTTCGCTGTCTTCTACGTCTTCGTCGGTGAGTTACTGCCGACCGTGCTAAGGTCTCAGGCGATGGGTATAGCTTCCTTCATCGCCGGTATCGGCCTCCTCACCTTTCCCTACATCGTTCATTTGGCGGTCTATTCGAGAGTCTTACCCCTGATCGTGATGGGCTCGCTGAGCCTTGCCGGCGCCTTCACTTCCATATTCCTGCCGGAAACGCTCAACATCCACCTGCCGCAGACGATCGAGGAGGGTGAGCAATTCGGGGCTGATTTCAAGCTGTGGTCCTGCCCGACGATACCAAAGTTAGTAATCTCGATCACGAAAATTGCAAGAAACAGAATTTCTTTTCAGGGAAAACATTTTCAAGGAACAATTTCAACGTAATTAAAATTATTCCTACAAACTTGCTTTATAATTATTTATGCTGTTATCAAATTAATCTCAATAACTTCATTTTTTTTATCAAGTAATATGATAAACATCAGTAAGACTGATTTTATTCGATTAATGATTAATTTGATCTCTTTCGTACTTATTAAATAAATTGATATTGGCGCTTCAGAAAAGGCAAGTCCGAAACCGTGCCATTGAGGTATCTGGTGAACGGTGGACCGGGTAGTCGCTCGTCTACCTCGAAGATCGCGACACAGGAAGTCGCGACACAGGAAATTGCGACTACATCGGAGAGCGAGAAGCTAGCTGCCGTACTGCCTTCGAAAGAAGAAGAGGCGAGGAACTTAAACGTGTCCAAGGGAGAGGAGACGAACATCGAGACAGTTGTCAGGTCGAAAACTTCTAGCGCGATAGTGGAAGTGAACGTGTGCCGGAAGTCGCAATGAGCCGAAAAAAAAGAGAAAAAAAAGAAAGAGAGAGAGAGAGAGACAATGTTATAAGTTGATTCTCTTTACAAACATTGTGTTATATAATTATCAGTATAGACACACACGCACATTGTATTTATTTTTCCATTTATTATAATGTACTTCCTTTGTAAAACCTGCCTGAGTTTGTCGACAACAGTGGCACGGCTCGATCCTTGTTTCTTTTTCTATGCTGCAAGAAAGTGTCCTATCGTCGCGATGTATGCGTGTGCGTGATTGATATGCGTATGGGTTCAGGATCAACGCCGTGAGAATTTTAGAGCGTAATGCCTATACTTTTTTTATGTTTTTGATTAGACGTGGATTTTGCATTTTGTCCTTATTAAACAAATCTTGTTGTGATTTCAATTAGCTTAAATAAAATATCTTAATACCTATATCGATGTGGGGATTGTGATGAGATTTTCCGAGAAAAATCTTGTCAGTCCATGCATGATCTATATTTTACACGCATTATAGTTCAAATGCTGAAATAAAACACATTTACATCGTCGATTTTGCAATATTATGATGCAAGTAGAAAATTACACAAGCGGCCAGACAGTCGCCAAGGAAAATCCAGCAGTCGCCTGTTTTTGTTTGAATGTCATTTTAGCAAGTCCGTAATTTCTCCGTTTCTCGTCCTTATTTCCGTCTTCCGAGTTTCTCGTCCTTACTTTTGACTTCCGACTCCTATCGCGGCCATTAAGGAGGTTGTCGTTGAATCCCGTGTAATTATTTCATCCTAAAGTTCCGATATTCGATATAAAATGCGTGAAATTGTTCATCTCCAAGCCGGTCAATGCGGCAATCAAATAGGTGCCAAGGTTAGTAACTGTGAAAAAATAAATGCGATAATGACAATCACAATTTTGAAGATTGACTGATGCATTAAAATATTTATCGCGTTTACTATTTTTTAAAATACTTATATTAAAAATTTCAAAGTTAATTTTTGAAAATAATCGATATACCGATTATATAAAAAACGGACTCAATTAAATATGCACAATCACTCTCCGATTATTTCACTCTCTGATTATTGAATTAATAAACTTCTCTTTCTATTTTACCATTTATCATGCTTATATTTTTCTCAATATTTAATTTGGCATTTAATTATTTCTGACAATTTATATAGTTTTGGGAGGTGATCTCAGATGAGCACGGCATCGATCCTACAGGCGCCTATCACGGGGATTCGGATCTTCAGCTGGAACGAATCAATGTTTATTACAATGAAGCCTCCGGACCGAAGTACGTACCGCGCGCGATTCTGGTGGATCTTGAACCCGGCACGATGGACTCTGTGCGTTCGGGATCTTTCGGACAAATATTCCGACCGGATAACTTTGTGTTCGGACAATCGGGAGCCGGCAATAATTGGGCCAAAGGCCATTATACCGAGGGCGCCGAACTGGTCGACTCTGTTCTCGATGTGGTGAGGAAGGAGGCGGAGAGCTGCGATTGTCTTCAGGGTTTCCAATTAACGCATTCGCTGGGAGGTGGTACTGGATCCGGAATGGGAACTCTGCTTATTACGAAGATCCGAGAGGAATATCCGGACAGAATTATGAGCACCTTCTCCGTCGTACCCTCTCCGAAAGTCTCCGACACTGTTGTAGAACCTTACAACGCCACCCTGTCGGTTCATCAACTAGTGGAGAACACGGATCAAGCTTATTGCATCGACAACGAAGCGCTCTATGACATTTGCTTCCGTACTTTGAAGTTGACTACTCCTACGTACGGGGACCTGAATCATCTCGTTTCTGCTACCATGTCTGGCGTGACAACCTGTCTAAGGTTTATTATATAAAAGTTATCACATACAGTTATGGAATTACATTATAAATAAATATAAAAAATGCAGAACATTCAGGCGATTTTCGCTGCAATATCGACCAATAATGCTTTAGAGAAACTATTGCAATAATAGATACATATAAAAATAATGTATATAAATTAATAAGCAATAAATATACGACTTATTTATTTTAAATAATTATAGATTTCCTGGCCAATTGAACGCCGATCTGAGAAAGCTCGCGGTGAATATGGTTCCGTTTCCTCGATTGCACTTCTTCATGCCCGGCTTCGCGCCTCTCACATCCCGAGGAAGCCAACAGTATCGAGCTCTCACTGTGCCAGAGCTCACCCAGCAGATGTTCGATGCCAAGAACATGATGGCCGCTTGCAATCCACGTCACGGACGTTATCTCACCGTTGCGGCTGTGTTCCGTGGTAGAATGTCAATGAAGGAGGTCGACGAGCAGATGCTCAACGTTCAGAACAAAAACAGCTCGTTCTTCGTCGAGTGGATACCGAACAATGTGAAAACGGCGGTGTGCGATATTCCGCCCCGTGGCCTCAAGATGTCCGCCACCTTCATCGGCAACTCCACGGCCATTCAGGAACTGTTCAAGAGAATCTCCGAACAATTCACGGCGATGTTCAGGAGGAAGGCCTTCCTCCACTGGTACACCGGTGAAGGCATGGATGAGTTGGAATTTAACGAGGCGGAGTCGAACATGAACGATCTAGTATCGGAGTATCAGCAGTATCAAGATGCGACAGTGGAAGATGATGAAATAGACGAGGAAGAAATGGAGAAATAAAAGAGAAGCAGAGAACCTTGCAAATTTTTTTTGACTTGATTGTTTCTTTGGTACTTGTTATTTTTGCTTTTTTAAATAATGCTTTACAGTATTTTATATGTCATTTGTGTACACGCATTTTGAGAGGAAATTTGTATTGTTTCTTGTGAAGTTTATAATAAATAATACGTTGTGGCAGAAACATTAAATTGCTTTTATGGTCGCAAATTAATTCACGACTTTTTTCTAAGCACGTGATATTCTGATCGCTTAAGAAATTACTTTTCGCGCTGTCAGCATCATCTATATCAGTTAATGACATTGTATAGCGTGAGATATAAATACACGCGTCTCTTAAATAAGACGAGTATTCGCAGGCCTTTAAAAACGCGATTCTCGTTATCGAATTCGATATCGTCCTTCTGGCCAACTCACATTGATGAACACAAGGCCTTGGCAAAAATTGGTGATCGCGCATTATCTCATCGGTGCCCCGCGAGGGCAAACACTTTATTATTGCGTGCAATAACGTAGAACGCGTGTTACTGCATGAGCTGTTACGAATTGCAACAGGCAAAGATGTTGGACGGATCCAGTCCATTCGCGTGCGTTTTTAATGCGTTTTCTGCTGTAACATCGATTTAACAATTTTTCGAGAAATTATCGCAATAATAAAATATTACGATTGTATCAAATTATAAATATTACAAAAGTGATTGCGGAAATATTTTGATAAGACGGAAAGATAAATTAGCGCGTAATGATTGCGCATTGTGTGATTAAAGAAAAGATTGTTTTGTGTAATAGAAATTAAATCCACGACGAGATTTTGTACAAAAAAAATGAGAAGTATTATTACAAAAATTAACATTATTTTTCTAAAAATATAGTGAAAATAAAAATGTGTTAAATAATTAAAATATGTATAATCAAAAAAATCTAATGCTATTTTGAAATTTCTAATAGTTTTACGATCGACATCTGTCACATAATCGATACTAAGATAGCGTAGCATTTAGTTTGCACAATGTTGAAATTTTGTATGTAGTATATTTAATTATAATGTAACATTAAAAACACAAAAATGTAATTGTTTGGATTAAAAGAATTATTAATCTTTTTCATTCAAATTTCAAAATTGTTCCAGTTAATATATTCACAATGAGAGAAATTGTACATGTGCAAATAGGGCGTTGCGGTAACTTTATTGGAAAAAGGGTGATAATGTTAACCTATTTTATAATACATTCTGAAACACACGTTATATCTTTTGTATAATGCAAATATACTATATAAATTTCATTTATCGTAAGAAAAAATTATAATAAATTATCTCTCTTGAAAAGATTAAATTTCTAAATTCAAACATTTATTAAATTAATGTAAATCAATTCTATAATAATTAAATAACGAAACCATGAAATAAATATATATATGTTAAATTTAATTTTTAGTTTTGGCAAGTAATTTTAGCCGAGCATGGATTGAATCAACAAGGCAGATACAAACCGAACGTTTCTGAACTTCAAAAGCAACGTATTGATGTGTATTTCTCGGAAGGTGCAGGTATTAATATTAGATGCAACTGCAATATGTTTTTTTTTCTAAAGCTAATTTATAATACACTAATTGCATATATTAATCATGTCTTTGGAACAGAATAGTTGATATACACTGTTGTATTCGTCGCAATTAAAAGAGATCGTTATAAAGCGATTATCGCGTCAGATGTGAAATTATTACTTCCTTTTTTTTAGATGAAAGACGCGTGCCTAGAGCTATACTGATTCCTTTTGATTGCAAAACTATGCACGAAGTATTAGGTGGATATTACGACTCGCCGTTTAACCTCGACAATGTTGTATGTAGTAAAGCCAGGACTAACAATAATTGGGCCAAAGGTTATTACAGCGAAGGAGCCGACGTCTTGAAAAAAGCCTCGCAGATCGTGCGAACGGAAGTCGAGGCCTGCGACTCGATTCAAGGTTGAAAGTTCAATAGCCTCGGCGAAGAATTTGATATTGCTAAATTGTTAAGAAAATTAATACCTTTATTTACTACTAAAGCTTTTCAGCTGAAAAATAAAAGAAATTAGATTATGTCAATTATTATTATTACATACTACTAACTCTGTTTCTCCGTCTCGCTAAATTTTATTATTATTAAATTAAAAATTTTCAATCATATATTATTTTTTCCATGGTTTGGAGCAATCTTTTGGTAAATCTATTAGAAAAAGATTAATAATTATACATATATTATTAACGAAGGTATACAGATTGTGCACGCTATAGGCGGTGGTGCTGGATCAGGCTTCGGTAGTCTGTTCGCCCAATACATGGCAGAGGAATATCCCAATAGAATTCTAAAATCCTACACATTGATACCGTCATTATATGATTGGCATCATGATGCGAAAGTACAACCTTACAACGCGGTGTTAACTATTCCCTACTTGATCGATTGCATCCACGAGGTCTTTTGCATCAACAATGAAGCCGTCGACCGCATTTGCTCTGACAAATTGAAAATGCAGCCAACCTTCCACAATATGAATTATTTAATTTCGCTCTGCATGTCAGGAATCACAGCGTGTTTAAGGTTGAAATTATGGCATTTAAGAATATATTAATTAAATGTAAAATATAAATAATTTAATATTGCTAAACTTTTACTAATAAAAAATATTTGTTATAAAAGAATTTTTATTTTTCATTTGGAAAATTTAAAGAGATTTTTATTCACTTTGTGTTTGTTTATAGGTTTCCAGGTCAATTAAATACAAGCCTCAAAAAGCTCTTGGTAAATATGGTGCCGTTTCCACGACTGCACTTTTTCGCGCCTGGATACGTATCGTTAAAATATAAGCATCCTTATACAAAACATATGGTTAAAACATTGATTCGGAATATGTTCGAACGCGAAAACATATTTATCAATTGTGATCCTAGAAAGGGACAATTTCTTACCGCCGCTGCTATCTTCAGAGGCAGAATATCTCCTAAGGTATAATATTTAACAATTATATTTATAAAATAAAATATTCGTATTTTAATATTTTTTAAATGATGATAAAGATATATAGGATAAAACGATATTTTGACGACTTAACTTTTCTTTTTTAGGAAGTTGACGAGAACATGTACTACTTGCAGCAAAATTTGTACAGTTCGCATTACGTCAAATGGATTCCACATAATATTAAAACTGCTATATGCGACATAGCAACGTATAATACAGCTATATCTGCTACTTCGCTATCAAATACGACTGCGATTCAGGATGTGTTTATGAAACTGCTCGATAAATTTCAAGAAATGTTCAAAAGAAAGGCGCATCTTCAATGGTACCTCGAGGAGGGAATGGAGGAATCAGATTTCTTGGAGGCTCAGAACAGTTTGTTATCCCTCATCTCTGAATATCAACAGTATCAAGACGCAGAGGCCACAACGGTTTTCGTCGAAGAATCTATACCATATGTTGAAAACTGAAATAAACCTGATATTTTAAGTATATATATGTATTAAATCAAGCTAAAAAATAATTGGATGAATTAATTATTGTATATATGCCACACTTGTTCATTTTTTAATATCATAAATATTTCATTGTGAAAAAGGTCCAAAGTTTCAAGATTTAATCTGTTGCTACTTGTAAATACATACAGCAATGTATAAAAAATATAAAATGTAAGAAAAATAATACGGTGATGCAATAATGCTGTATCATAAAAAAAAAACACAAACAAAAAAATTTAATTTTAAACTAAGAATTCTTTACTATATAGAAAAAAAATTTTAAATAATTTTAAACTAAGAATTCTTTACTATATAGAAAAAAATTTAAGAGATTATCAGTTGTAATAAAATCATGATTTTTTAAAGATTTTTATTACAATTCAATCTACGTTACATTTATCCAAGCAACATATTAAGATCTTTATAATTATCTAATAGAGCTAAATATAATATAGGCGTATCAAAAATTAATGATATAGTTAAACTATACCTTCTAAATAATTATTTTTCAATTTATTATTCGCCACAATTATATCGTTTTGCCTTCAAATATTCATCTTCATAAATATATATGCTATATATGTATTCATATATAAATATTACGGTATCATTATGCCGTATAAAAATCATCTCGATTGCCTATATTACATTCGCTTCGATTCGTCGATTATAAAGCGTATCATATATAAAAGTATCAAAAGGCGGTTTCTCGCGAGCGCACAGTCGGTCGTTCTGCAAGCTCTTACAATGATAGGACACAGATAGAAAAGCTGAAGATAGAACCAGAAAAAGAAAGCAGCATCGCGATACTTTCAGTTTTCCTGCTCGCAAGTTTCGAAGTCATCAGCGCATTCCTCCGCCTCAAAGTCCTCCTCCGCTGTGGCTTCCTGGTACTGCTGGTATTCGGATACCAGATCATTCATGTTGGATTCGGCCTCGGTGAATTCCATCTCGTCCATGCCCTCGCCGGTGTACCAGTGAAGAAAGGCCTTCCTCCTGAACATCGCCGTGAACTGCTCAGAGATCCTTTTGAATAGCTCCTGGATGGCGGTGGTATTGCCGATGAAAGTCGAAGACATTTTCAAGCCTTTCGGTGGGATATCGCAGACGGCAGTTTTTACATTGTTTGGTATCCATTCGACAAAGTATGAGCTGTTTTTGTTCTGTACGCTGAGCATCTGCTCGTCCACCTCTTTCATCGACATTCTCCCGCGAAAAACAGCCGCCACGGTAAGATATCGGCCGTGACGGGGATCGCAGGCCGCCATCATGTTCTTCGCGTCGAACATTTGTTGGGTGAGCTCCGGCACAGAAAGCGCCGAGTACTGCTGCATGGATCTGGATGTCAGAGGCGCGAAACCCGGCATGAAGAAGTGCAAACGTGGGAAAGGCACCATGTTCACCGCGAGCTTCCTAAGATCAGCGTTCAATTGGCCAGGGAACCTGACAAAAATCAATCTGTATTATTTGCGAATTTATTCACGAGATAAAAACTTTATTAATCAATAAATTATTATTTTAAATTAAAATAGAATCTGTTATATATTTAAAAATTTTCATTTCTATGAATTTGCTTATTGGCTCCGTGGATTTTTGTAGATACCTGAGACAGGTCGTTACTCCGGACATGGTGAGCGAGACCAGGTGATTGAGGTCGTTGTAACTCGGATTGGAAACCTTGAGAGTACGGAAACAAATATCGTATAGGGCCTCGTTATCGATGCAATAGGTCTCGTCGGTGTTTTCCACCAATTGATGCACCGACAGGGTCGCATTGTACGGTTCGACGACGGTATCGGACACTTTGGGCGACGGCATCACCGAGTAAGTGTTCATAATTCGATCTGGATACTCCTCGCGGATCTTGGAGATCAGCAAGGTGCCCATCCCGGATCCAGTGCCGCCTCCTAACGAGTGAGTGAGCTGAAAACCTTGGAGACAATCGCAATTTTCGCACTCCTTCCGTACCACGTCGAGAACAGAGTCGACCAACTCGGCGCCCTCGGTGTAATGGCCCTTCGCCCAGTTGTTACCGGCACCGGACTGCCCAAATACAAAATTGTCCGGTCTAAAGAGCTTCCCATAAGCGCCGGAACGTACGGCGTCCATCGTTCCTGGCTCCAAATCCAGCAAGATCGCGCGTGGCACGTATTTTCCTCCATTTGTCGACGTCGCAACTGAGATGAGAAAAATGGAGAATGTGAAAATCATTAACGTTTACTTGCTTAAAATATTGTGAAGAACGCAAGAATCCGAAAAATGTTTAAAATAAAAAGAATAAGTAACAATATATTATTTATCTGGGAAAGAAATCTTTAAATTTTTTAATTATTAAATATAAATATCAAAGATAAGACGTATGACGTGTAAGACGTTAATGATTATATTCAATAGACGCCGTATAAATGGCATAAAAGACGTCAAAGCTATCATATTAATTAGTCGCTATTGTCATTCTACCAAAAACTCGTACCGACTATAGTGGTCAGCGGAAATGCGTGTCTGTATCGCTTGCAAATGAGTAGCTATTGAGATATGTTGTCAACAGAATATAAAGATCTGCATTGTTCAACTTAAGCAGAATCACAATAGAGAGGATTCTAATTTTATAGATGTTTAATTGAAATATTCTTCCTTTTAATCTCTCTCAATTATTATTATAGATATTAAAACTACAACAATGTTATGCGTTAAATTCATATATACATATATAAATTAAAAATTAAAAATATAGAAAAAATAAAAAAAAGATATACAAGCATGAAAAATAAAAAAAATTTTTCTATGTGTCTATTTAAATCTATTTCTAACGAATAATGTATGCAACTGAGACATTTTTACGTTAATTGAGCCGCTTCAAATGTGCGTGAGCACGCACCGTACGTACGTTCTTGGAAATAATTTCATTTCGCGGCGCGAAGAAATGCATGAGAAGTTCAGAAATCGTGTTGCAGCCGCAATCTATAATTCTCCGACCACACAAAGCGGCTATTTTCAGCGTAAATGCGTGTCCCGACGTTCCTCTTCATCCATCGGCGCGGGACACGCGCTTTTCTACCTTTCTCGTTATTGCTATTTTTGACGCGAGGACAGAATCCGCACAGAGAAGAAAGAGAGAAGTCTTCTCCACTAGAAAGATTTCTCTCACGGATCGAGAAATCTGTTCTCGCCCGTGAATACGATCTCTTTGTACTTGTATAATATTCTGTTATATATCATTTCTTTTTTCACCAACTCTTAGAAACATTAGAAATTATTGTTCGTCAGAAATGTTAAATAATGTATTTGTTACCTATAATTTTTATTTATATGAATATGCTTATATAAAAGATTAAATAAAACTACGTAAAATAATTAAATTAGTTGTAATTAAATTAACTGGCTTGAGATATTTTTATTCCATTGTATTCTTGATTTCTAGGCTGATCATCTTATTTGTACACACTCTCTTTCACCGAGAAGCCAGGTATATCAAGTAATCCGATTTCCATTAAGTATAAATGTATGTCATATATACATGTAATATATATGAAATATACAATATTCAAGAATGCAATATATATCAATGGATCATTTTTTTAATGGATATCTTATTTTAATCGTTTTCGTATTTTCATTCTGTTCTAATTTTGATGTTTCTGGACTGATTATCTTTGGACACACCCTTTCATCGAAAAGGTGAAAGGGTGTGTCCAAAAGTAATCAGTCCAGAAACATCAAAATTAGAACAGAATGAAAATACTAGGTGTGTCAAGTAACCCGACTTCCATTAATATCTAACATATATATGAACATGAAACATTTAAGAAAATATTATGTATATATGTAATATATCAATTATATGTATTTATAACATTAATAAATTATGTTTACATAAAAAATGATTTTTTCAAAAAAATTGAAAATGTTTATTGTGAATATAAAAATTACTTTTTCAGCATATAGTAAATATGACAACAATATTCCAATAATAGTAGGTTGAATTAAATTGCAATTAAAAATAAAAGAAGTGCAAATACATAATTTAATACATGTCCTTACCAGACGCCTCATTATAATATACGGAGATTCGTTCCAGCTGCAGATCGCTCTCCCCGTGATAAATGCCCGACTGGTCGATACCGTGCTCCTCAGAGATAACTTCCCAGAACTGCAACGTGATTCGTTAACATTATGTTACGTGAGTCAATTGCTCAAACAGTTCGCTCATTTCCGGGAATATTAGTAACCCGAGAAAGTAGTTTCGTGTAAAAATAGCTGGAAGGGAAGGAACGGTATCCTATTATCATTTCCTAACTAAAACTCGCCCTGAAAAGAGGTTTATTTTACGCTGTGCTTTTCGCTAAACTCTCGAACCACTCAACGTGTCGAATGAGGAGCGGCTTCCCATCGAGCACATTACCCTAAAGTTCCCGGGTCGCGATGTGACGGGGGGATAACACGCGCGACATCCAAAAATAGGGATGCACGGAATTAACGCGGTCCCCCCTGTTCATGTCCATCCTCCGGTTAAAACATTTCTTCTCTCTCCATTTGTCTTGTCTTTACTATTTTCTCTTTCTATTAATAGCAAACCGAGTCGTCGAGGCGACAGTCACAGCGAAATGCATCCCTTTGATTATTCTAACTGTATACTACATTTATTTTCGTGTTGAATAAAAATTAATCTACATCTCTCATTTTTTCAAAGTAAAATATTTACATCATTTTGTAGGTCTATATTTTACAAGAAATATATATTATATATTTATAAATTATAATATAATTATAATATATTTGGCAATATATATTATATTATATATATATTATATATTTCTTGTAAAATATATATCTACAAAATATGTATATTAAACTAAACCCATATAATAAATTTTTTTTAATATAAAAAAGATTATATTTCATAGACTTTAAAAAAAATTATACTGATACTTAAATTGTGGATGAATATAATTATTGAAAAATACTTATTCATCGGGAAATTTTCACAAACCTGCAACAGCTATTTCAATTGCTCGAGAAGCACCATCGTATATTTTCGTTTAGATCATAAACGTTCTGTAATTTCACAGAAGCTTCGTTCTTGCTTCCTGCAATCGTTAAACTCTTTCAAGCGGAAAACAATACCGCGGAAGTGATAGTAGATCACATCTAATACAAAGTGAAGGGACGATACTCTTCTAAGATAGACGATTGTTTGAGTGTTTTACTTGCTAGACTGACGGAAATAATGCGCATCCGATTGTGAAAATAGGAATGATTTTTAAAGGATTGATTCATTTTAAGAGATTGCACTTTTTGAGAATTATATCTTCAATTAATTTCAGATTTTGAATGACAGAAAAAATTTATATCGCGAATATATACATTGTTGATTACGATAATAATTATTTATAATTCATAAAAGCATAATCAATATATAAAAATAAATATATTTTTTAATATAGGCTTCTCTTTAATTAATTAGTGAAGACATTGCATTTTTATCACTTTAACGTAACTTTTAATTATAATATTTTCATAAAAAAAAGTTACCACTAAATTTGTATATTTTGCTATGTTACTGATAAAAATGTTTCTGACTCATATCTTCCAGTTTATGATACAACGTGCGTCATTGCGCGATAAGTAATATCGTGTAAAGAAAAACCCTAATTCGTAAAGATGACGAAATGATAAAGGTATATATCATTTACCGAAGATAAGTTACGATAAAGTGAAAAGTTTACTTTAGCTAAGTGCAGTTAAATCTTTATTTGACAGTCGAATTGGATTATCTGCCAAATTTTTCAATATTTATTAAAATAACATGTATAAAAATTAACATGTATTAAAAATTAAATTAATAAACAATAATATAAAAATATTAGGAACAAAAAGTTTGGGAATAAAATATTCCCAAACTGAAATATCCCCAAAATGAACAGAATAGACATACAATTAGAGTATAAATTAACAATAAATTAATAATATACAAAGAAATTGATTTTCTTTACAAAAAATGTAATTTTTTAATATTGCGCATAATAATTGATATAATCGAATGTTGAACATCGCGAATCCCCATGTTGTCACGCCTATGAACACGATCAATGAGATTAACGAATCTGAAGTGCTTCTCTCACGATAACACTTTACAATGTTTCCAGTAATGTGTCTGACTCAGTCAGAATCAACAAGCAATAAGAATAATTATTTAACTAAAAAAAATAAACAATAAGAAATAGTAATTAATAATAAGTATAATTATACTAACGCTTACACATTTTTAATTATATATAATAATTTTAATTTGCTTTAACATGCAAATTTTACAATCGCGTAATAAAAGCAATTTTTTATTTTATCATCGTTCTTATTGAGAATAATTTATGACGATTTTTCAAATAACTGATTTTCCCAAAAGATGAATCTTGAAACGACCGAGTTTATTCATTTTCACGCCAATGGATAATGGAGACGATTACTGTAGAATTTTAAGTGCTCTCTAAGTACACATTAAGTAAGCTCGTCTCTCTTTCCTGCCCTCGCCCCTTATGTACGGTAGCGCGATTAAAACTTGGGTCACTTTACGCACTTTGGCCGCACGAGATAGAAGGGGGAATCTCAATAGCGAAACGAGCAGCTCTTTAAATTCCATCTCGTTATGCACCGCCTTATCTTCGACTCAATTATAGCCGCAGTCAAATGATATCACTCAGAAAGATTGTACTGTTCAATGTTTTTTATGATTGCATTGTCCAATGGTTTTTTATGGAATAATGCTCGTATTTCTGCTGATTACTATTTCGCTGAGTTTATTAATTCGCCAAGGCAAAGGCAAAGAACAGAGAAATTGATAAGACTGCTCGAGTTCTTGAAATTATATTTTTATTCTTGCTAATCATTTCAGATTAAATATTTACTTCGTAATTATTGTGTTTTTTTCATGATTAAAATGATATCATGTATCTAAAAAAAGAAATAAACGCGTTTGGCGGGCAGAATAATTCCTCGAAATTGATAGGATTACGAGTAATTTTTGGTTTTTAAATATGATGAATATAACGAAAACGAGAAGAGGTAATTTGAAGAACGCAATTCTTCTGGAAATCACGGCGAAAATGCTCCGATCGATATTTCAAAGACAGTGAGTCACAATGCCCGGCTTGTTTGCGCTTTAATCGACTGTCTGTCGTCTCATCACGCGACATAAACCAGGTTTACGGTTAATTTCCGGCACCTATCTTTGCAAACAAATAAATTATTCTTGTCCTATCGCAATGCTCTTTCGCGAATCTCCACATCCTGTTGAATATACTCGAATATATCACGAGTTATATTTATGCTCTCGATATTAACGTTTAGTTTTTTTTATAATTAAAAAGTTTTCATTTAAAATCATTGTATCAATCTATGAATTCGTTATTGATATTTTGCTTCAATAATATATTTCGATTAATGAAATATTTTCATTTGAAGCTCGACGAAAATTGAGAGACAATAAATTGAAATTTGCTAAAAAATCTGCTAAGATATATAACATCATAGTGTATATAAATAATTTTTAAAATACTTAAAAATACGAAATATTAGAAAACTGCTTCCTTAATGAACAGCAATTTCTCATTAAATTTGCCGAAAAAAACTCAACATCGAATTGACAGAATTGAAATTTAAATACACAGACAGTGATTTTACTGTCACATTAAATTCTCTCGAAAGATTCTTAAGGAAGGACATCTCTTTTTGGCGATTAATCGTCGACCTACCTTGGCCCCGATCTGATTGCCGCATTGTCCAGCCTGTAGATGCACGATCTCCCTCATTCTGCCTTCCTTTCAGCGCGGAAAAACGGAGCGCGTGGCGAATAAGAACAGCTGATCTCTTCCCGATCCTCCTGTATATCCTGTCGCGGCTCGATACCGTGCTGTGACGTGCGTACTTGGATGCGTCGAAATGGAATGCGTAGCTGTGCGTAGCGTGTGCAGCTAAGTGCAACCGAGACGAGGTGTGCAGCCGGCCGTCGCGAGTCGGGTCTGCGAATGGATGACGAGCCGGACGAGGGAAACGCACTCGTGTCGGCCTCCTGAGCTCCACTCTCCCAAAGCGGAGCTACGGCGCTTGGCGATGATGGGGTTAAGCTTAAGAGAGGAGCGGGGAGAGCAATCCATCGTCCTGACGGAAAGAGAAGGAAAGGAGAACGAAAGATTGAAAGAGAAAGAGAGAGAAAAAAAGAGGGAGGGAGGGAGCGAGCAAAGGAAAAACGACGGGGCTGGTTTTCGCATCCGGGGTTACACTCTAAGAAGGGTGTGTGTAAACCCTCGACGATACATAAATCTGTATCCCGAAGTACGCTCTTCCAGTCCGTTTGTTTCTTTTCTCTCTACGAATAGGTCGTACGAAGCTTCTGATCATCAAAGCGAGTAATTACTTCTTCTTTTTTTTTTTTATCTACAGCTCTTGAGTTGGGAGCGCGAAATCGATTCTTCGAATATAATGCGAATTAATTACTGCTGCGATTTGATTACCGGAAGCTGCAAATTATATATATATAGAGTTAGTATGAGTTCGCGTCATGTGAAATATTATTGAATGCGACGGTACGATTACTCTTTATATCGAATTACCTTGGAGCTCATTCACCGGAACTGTAACAGGAGATAGGATTTTTTTTGGAAAGTACATACTTCCTTCTGGTTGTGAATACAAGGTATCACGTTTAACGGGAAGCGTTTCGGTCATATGAATTCTGGGGCACACACAACGCTTGCATGCTGTTAATGTCTGGGAATTATAATCGACGACGGCATTCGCATGTCAGGATGTAATGAATATTATAGATTAACATATTTTTAATTACATTAATTTTCTTTTCTTTAGTTTAATCACTTTTGTTTAATCACTTTCAGGCAGAAATTAAAGACATTTCTTTTAGTTTCTTTGGGGTTTGCCAAAAATAACAAAAAAAAATATTAAAATTTATAAAATCTATACGTTAAAAATTTTATACAGTTAGAATAAAATTTCAAAATGTCAAAAATAATTCACAGATAATTAAATACGCGAAATCTATCTAGAAACAATATCTTATATTTTAATCTACTCTAACATTATAAACACTCATATTAAAACCTTAATAGTTGTCGTTTTAAATTACAACGTATAATTAACGCACCGAACACAGTCATACGGTACGAAACACTGCATACCACGAATTCTTAAAGCAGGATGTCGCTCTAAAAAAAAAAAAAAATGTCGAAAGTGCACGAACGAAGCGAGATGCTGGAAGTCTTTATCTTGTGAATCATTCTCTTAAAGCGACACTCCACGATGGCTTTCCACCGTCCTCGTCGAAAACGATAATAATCGAGACGATAGTCGCGCATTCCGTCTCCAGCTGCGCTCCGCGCTCCTTCATGGTCTCCCGCTGTTGTAAAAAGCTTCCGTCTATTATTCTAACATCTTTTCTCGGCTTCCCGTTAACATCCGCGTCATTGACACGGTGACACGCGATTATCGTGCGCATTCAGAAAGAAAAGAGTTAAATAAATATCGGTTTTTATCAAATAGAACAATGCAATTCGCGATTAATTTTTTTCTTTCACTTTCTGTCTCCTTGTTAGAGATTAAACATTTTTTTGTATTTAATATTGTATTAATTTTTGAGATTTTTAAGGAAGTAGTCAATTTTCTTTACCATTTCAATGACAGCGCGTCAATGGCTTCTTTTTTTCCAAGTATGGAAGCAACTGTGTCTGATAATCATAACTATCTATTAATCACCGCCATCGAGAAGTCATGTTCTATTTAATTAACCCGCATGTGCATAATTTGTTATATGTCAAAGATTAAACCTCCATTTTTCCGAGTACATTTAAATTTAACGTCTAAATTCTAAAAATAGAATAACTCATCATTTAGAGGGAAAAAGAATTTTGTGAAATTAAAAAAATAAAAAATTAAATAATAAAATAAATAAAGAAGAGTCGGGATATTTAGCACACTAGGCAGAAAATGATGCTTATCTCTTGTTCTTTTTTTCTTTTAATGAGCTAGGTATGTAGGACGTGCGCGTTCTTTGTCGTTGTGTACGGCGCCTGGCGATGGATCGAATTCGCAAGACAAGACGGTCAACACACAGCGGGGACGATGAGTCATGTTTTTTCTACTAAGGTCAATGTCTGCGTTTTATCAAAGGCGAATGACCAAAACGTGTCCGGTAATTACGCGTGTACGCGTGTGCACAACTTCAATCTCATAATTAATGCGTGCTAATAATTTATAAATCTTTACATAGTAATGATTGTAACGATACGTATTGCATATTAAATCGTTATTTATATATATAACATATACGTATTGCACATTAAATAATTATTTATGTATCTAATTTTCTTACTATATTATTATTATTATATCAATTAATTTACTTCGCATGTACATTAGTGTCGCGACGCCCCGATTAAAAACTACCATCGAATTAATCATAAAATAATTGAAGTACTTTCGAAAATCTGTAGTTCGTGAGAAAGAAATATTATGCGGATCAAAGGTTAATTGCTCGAAATTAGGGAGACAAGATAAAGCGATAATCTCGGTAGAAAGGGGACGTTTGTCATTAAGCGGAAGTGCAGGGTCACACGTGGGCCGCAATTATTTTCGAGTCTCCGAGTTTCTTGCGTGCCGACCGACTAGCCAGTTTCCCAACGGAACAATGTGTCGTGGCTTTATGCACATTCGCCTCTGTGAAGCGCATAACGATTCGGTGCGAGGCCGAAATCTCGCGTCCGGCCGATCTTTAATTCCGTCGGTTTAACTGTACTTCGTTAATCCGTTAGCTCGCTCTAGTCGAAGCTCAACATTCCTTCATAACCATGCCGCATTGTGTATTACGTTGTTATAACGTTACGATGCAAAATGCATATTGCAGAGGGTCTGACAGCGGTTGTCTCCACGATTTAAAAGCCATATTTGAGACCTCTCTATGTCTGCGTAAAATGCGAATCTTGAATACGTAGCTAGCACGTTATCCACTGAAGAATTCATGGTTCGTCTCCTTTCTACCGAGATTATTGGCGCTTTATCCATATAATACTTTTTTCTCACGAACGATGATCCTCAGATTCCTAAAAATACTTCGCTTATTTTATGATTGGCTATTTTCTTTCCATTGTTATGTATTATGCTTACAAAATGCCAATAATTTAAAACTTTAACTGTGTTTCGCAAATTTATTTCTGTTAGAGCGTATTAAGAGAAAATGGCACCCTGTTGAAGTCAATTTGATGTAAAAATTTATTATATAACTATATAAACATTATCATACGTTTGAGTAGAAAAGAACATAACGTTTGAGTAGAAAAAAAGAAAGATTTGTTTTTATCAGGCACAAAATTGTCTATGTATGTACATTCTTGTAATATAATACAAAAATAAAGTCTGTCCGTTTTAAGTTATAATACTAATCAGAATCAGATTCACTGGAATCACTTTCACTATCGTTTATTTTCTGATTAGCGGAATACCTGTTCATATTTACAAAGAGCTCTTCATCGTCGCACGTAGTATAATTCGTTGCTATCGATTGTCCGTTTCTCTTCGGATCTTCATCGAATTCCGCTGGCCAACAATTTTGTGCACGATACCATTTTATGTGATCCTGACATATAAAATAAACATTATTAAAAACATTATTAAACATTATTAAAAAATAGAATTTTAAATTGACTTAAAGTTGACTTAAGACGAATTTTAAGTCTTCATTATGTCTCATTTTTTATTGATATTCGAATAAAAAAATTTTTATTAAAATGATAGAAGAAATTATGAAAATAGCTAATAAGAATTACCTTTGTGAGTATCTTAACAATTTCGCCCTTAACTTTTTTGCCTTCCTTGATTGGCTCTATAACAATATAATCACCTCTCTTTACCCAGATATTTTGTCTGAATTTAGTAGGCATTGAAACAATGAATTGTTCTCCGGAGGAAGTGACAACTTCGTGAAGATTATGGCCGCGGGCTTGAACGATTCGTACGATGGTTTGCGAATCCGTGGGAAGGCTCATATCATCAAGCTCTTGGAAAACGTATTTACGCTTCGTTGCTATAGAAGATGACATTGTGCTCTGAAAAAAACTGAATTAAAAGAATATCATAATTTTTACTCTCATTTTTTCCTTTTCATAAACTTTTTCTTTTTTAAAGCATAGTTTTCGCATTCTTAAGATCCAAAATTGCGATACAAAATTGATTTCATAATTTTAAATAGCTTTATGAGATTGTGGCGAGTTTTCGATTGAATCTTCTGTTGACTTAAGTTTGCGATTTTTCGCATCATGCCACCAGCCTAGCGAGCCACCGGATTTTTCCAAGGCAGCCCATACGTCTAAACTTTCGCCAGGTGATACTTCATATCCGTTCTGCAAACCATGAGGATTCGACGGAGTTTTACAATCGTGAGCAGACTCTTTGCGAAGAACGGTATCGACTTCCACAGCGGCAAAGAACGCTACCGACATCGGTAGATCTTTCATGCCTAGTCGAGAAGCGCAGAACGATCTCGTCAACAAGTTGGTCACGTGCATTGCCAGTGCGGCGTTGTATTTGTATCTAGATGGGACCAGATATCTCACTTCGTCGTGAAACGACAAACAGAATCTCGCGTTATCTCTCATCAACCATCTCATACAGACCAACATCAGATGAAGAAAGTCCACTGCCCCGCTCTGCACAACCCAATTAATCTTGGTGGGCAAGAACTTATCGTCGTCGTCAGTATCAGTGATTTCTAAAGCGCGACTCAATCTGGCATTGAGAAACGGCGTGACTGGATGCTTACTGCCAGCAATCTCCTCCAATCGGTTGAACATGGCCGATTCCGAGCCATCCATCCATTCGGACTTCTGGAACATGTCTTGTAACGTTTTTCCATGCAACTTTGCCATTTGATATGCTTGATAGGATGTGTAAAGCTTATCTTCCAGGTCATTGTTGATAAATTCAGCCTTCAGTCGAAACACCTTTTTACCCTTGGTCAAGGCGAACATCTTGCGCGATTTAGAAGTAGCCTCGGCATCGGTCATGGATGGATTGAACTGCTTCAACAGACGTTCAGCGAATTTCTGACCGGCGCCGTAAATCCGTGCGTAGTTGATGACTTTGGCGTGGTCGCGTGAGATGCCGATAGCCTTAGCAGTAACGCTGTGCATGTCTGTACCGTTGGATTTAGTGCCAATCAAAGTCATCCATCCGAAAGGAGTTGCTCCGTGAATACTTTTATAATGAGCGTCTCCAATGATTGAAGCAATCCATAACTCTTGACTGTCCACGTCGGCGCCGACGATATTATATCCTGGCGGCGCTTGAACCATGCATCTCAATTCGGAACCAATTCGTTCGATATGCGCGTTTGATGCTGTCATCCATGTAGGTTCCACAGCACGTCGTGTTAAAGTACCGGAAACGACTACTTGAGGTATTATCGCGCCATAACGCATATGTTTCTTAATTCTCTTGATACTGCCAGGCAGAGAATGATCGTCTAACCATATCACTAGCTGCGACATGATTCTATCGCGATTGTTTCGCCAATAGGACAACATACGGGCGATTTTTAGCACCTCCGCAGCGCTAACGTTCAAGCCAGCAAGTACATTCTCGGAAAACTTATTAAGAAAATCCTTGGCGAGAGGATTACCAACATTACGACTAACACCGTCCTTATGTGGTAGTTTGAAGAAGTAGCAGCAGTTGTCAATATCAACGTTGCACCACACGCCAGTGCCTTTGTATATCTTATCATCCGGTCCGTTCTGCTTCTTCTTAAACTGCCAGAATTCCGTTTTGTGAAGATCATTTTGCACGTCTGTTCTCAAGGTAGACATCGCGTCCTCGGAAATATCTCTAGAGCTCTTGGATGTTGGCAAAGGGCAGTATGCTAAAAGATTTTTTAATGGTAGTTTAGTTTCAATATCGAGATCATTGTTGTAAGGTACCAGAATTCCCCAACCATGTTCCCTTATGTAATGCAACGGATACTTTTCCCATGTCAAATTTAACAACTTTGGAACTACTTGCATGGAAGTGCTGATGTTTTGCGGACCCGGCATCCAATCTTCATCGTTTGGTTTGGGACAGAGTTTTCTATACCAGGCTGGATATCCTGGCATATGAGGCATTCTAACAGGTAACAAATATCTAGTCTCCTCTAAATAAGCAAATTCCTTTGCGAGAGGATCCTGCTCTTCTTCTTCATCATCTGATAAATATTTTTTGTCTGATAGTTTTTCCATATCCTTTGTCTCTATATTGTCAAGTTTTACTTTTTTTGGCATTTTAGCTTTCATCTTAATTTCTTGCGTACTCCAATCTTGATCCCACATCCATAAGTCTTGTTTATACTTTTCATCATGCATGAGATGGCAAACGGTGTCGGCTCTCTTAGCGAGAGTAAACTTTGCTTCATAATTTAAATCATCAAAAGTGGATTCTGATTCCTCCAAGTATCTCTGCCAATTAGAATTCACTGGTAAATATGCAGAGCCAAGTTCTAACATCCCAGCTAGAGTAACTGGATGAGGAAATCTCTCTTGGAAAAGTGGAAATAAATTGCGTAGAACATTATGAGTGGCAACAGCATCAGAAGCACAATAAGTCATCAACATGTTAAAATTATTTTTAACATCTTCGATAGTACCTTCGACAAATATATCTCTCGATTCCTTACTTATTTCAGAGCCACAATATAACTTATGCACTTCTATCAAGCTGTTTAACGATGTATTGGATTGCCAGTTATCCTTCTCTAAGTCTGGTTTTTTTTTAGATAATAACAATGATCTTTGATAGCTATTAAGACCGCTGACACATATATGTAACGACATAGTATCGAGAAAACGACTTCCTGTACAGTTCATCCAATATTGCTCTTTAATTCTGCTTCTGTCATATGATACATTATGACCTACAATAATTTTTGGTTTTTTCTGATGTTGATTCAATTTATGTCCATATTCGTCTTTGTTACTTTCTATAGAAATAAGCATATTTGGCATGAATAATTGCGTGTCAAATATTTGATTGATATCTTGCGCCAAAGAATTTGATACCCAACCATACCAAGCTTTATTACTGACTGCAGTGGCGAGAGTAGGCAAAGGACCCTGTTTCATACAAACCTCAACATCAAAAACTATTCCATCTTCCAATGGATAATCTACACTTTCCATCTTACCATCTGCTGTATATCTGGTCCAACCTTCTCTGAAGAGCCATTGTTTTGGCATCTCAGGAATGTCCTTGATAATTTCATTTATGATTTTTAAATATGGTTTAACTTGTACTTTTCCAATATTGTAAAAATGTTCCTCTATATCTTTTCCTTCCAAAATTGGCAGCTTCAAGTTTACATCCGGTAATCTGGTTGCATCCTCTACATTTATGCCATATGTGCTTAAATTCTTTTTGATATTATTGATTTCCTTTTCAGAGAGATGTTCCTGTTTATCATCTTCCCTGAACAATTGTTTATGCAATAATTTGGGTAGCATTTGCATATTTATTTCATTAACTCTGACAGTATCCTTTCTCAAATTAGTGCCTGTATCTATATCCGTGATATTTTTCGGTTCTTCTAATTCTTGAACATCATTTTGAATTAATCGCTGATGTGATTCAATCATTTGCGTATTTACATCATGAATTTTCAATTCTATATCTGCATTCACTCTCTCGTCCACTTGCGATTCTTTTAAAACATTACTATCTGATTCGTTTGATGCTCCTTTGAATAATTTGCAAAAACCCATCTCGAAATTTTCTGGTATTGCAGGTGTATTATAAATAGAGTTCAGTGCGGATTGTGCGGCATTTTTAGAGATTGAATCCTCTCGGTGAAATTTCACATCTTGTACGGTTTTTAAACGTACTTTTTTCCACTGACTCTTCTTGGAAATTCGTATACCGTCCTTCACGTTCGTGCATTTATGTCGAATGCAAACATTAATCAAACGAACCTTCAACTGCATTTTATTGTCTCTTCCTTCGAATACCTCACGGCTAATAAAACGAAGCACATGTTTCAGTAACCCGAAGTTATCGAAATCGCGCGCGTTATAAAGCAATATTTTATTAAACATTTGGCAATTTTATTAAAAAGGAACAAGAAACGAAATCTTACCTGATGACAATAAATAAAGTAAACTCTATTTGGTATGACGGAAATATTCAAAAATAATTTAATAAATCCTTTAAAAAACTTTAGATTGTTATTTTCATCAAAAGCGGTTATGTCGCCGCGAAGAGAAGACTGAAAGATATCATGATCCACTTTTAAATGATTCCCAAAACGCCCTCTGTGAACATAAAAACGTGGACATGAACTACGAGGCCAGTTTCCACGAATGTTCTCAGAGGGTAATATATAATGTGCACAATTTCTGGTTTTGTTCCGTGCTATGTAAAAAATGCCTGTAGTACACGAAATGCCTACGTACACAAAATGCCATCAGTGCTGTATAGCAAAAATCTTAATAATTTAATAGCCCTAACAATCCTATTTCTCGATTAAGTGAAATTATTCGAGGAAAGCCTATTTCTAATCGCGTATATTTTAATTACGTGCCCTAATTACATTCTCTAACTGCATGCCCTAACCGCATGAATAAATGTCATTACATATTACAAATGACATTACATATTATTGTACGTAAAGCTTTTCTTCAGACCAGTTGAATTTACTTTTCGTTGATCCTGACCACTTTCTCGCTCGATCTCTAATCAGAGATCGAAAAAGGAGATAAACACTCCTTCTTTTGCCGATTAATTATCGGCAAATGAGCGTAAATATTTCACGCTCATCGTAACGATCGCTCGATTTTACGATCGTTTGTTAAATATTTGAATATAATTTTATTTTAACTCAAATAAAGCCAAATTACTACAAATTTCTATATACTAGATTTTCTAATAAAATATAAAATTCATGTATGTGTATAACTTTTATGATATTACAAATTATTTAATTAGTTAATCGTTTGGCTTTATTTTAAGTTAAAGTAAAATTTAAAAACAATATCTACAAACAAATTCTACAATGGATGAGCTATGATATAAGAAATTAGAATAAAATAAGTGCGCGTTATAAGAATAAAGTAGTATCAAAAATTGATAAAATTGTTAAAATTATTAATGCGTGCTCTTGATTTAATAAACTAGTCAAGTCTTTACAAAAAAAATTTTCTTTTCTTGATTCTCTTTTTTAAATTAATACTTCAATATATTTTCGCAATAGATGCAAAGCATTTCGAAAGAATTTATTAAAAATTATTTAATTTAATCTATCATAGCTCATCCATTTTAAGGCAACGGACTTACTACAATCTACAATCTACAATCTACAATCTACAATCTACAATCTACATCTACAATCTTTACGAATCCGTTACCTTAAAGTTAAATAAAAGTTTTTCTCACTCACCGACACTGATGCGCAACAGCGGAGTTGTTGTTATCGAAGCTACGTTGTCTGTAACATACAAATATAAAATTCATTTATATTAATGCTCACAAAATGCAATCAATATTTCAAAAAATTTTTATCGCGCGGAATTTTATATCCGATGTGTAAAATAATAAGCAGAGATAAACACGTGTGGAAAAATTTTATAAATTTTTAAAACTGTTTTTTAAGAAAGCTTTTTAGAAAGTTTTATATAACTTTTATAAAAATCTTTCTCTCTAATTTTCTCTATAATTCATTTAGATAAGATCGAATTATTACGCGTATGATTTATAACAATTGATATACAAATAATAAATATTCACCATCAGGTTGCAAGATGCCTCTCCCAGGCCTCCTCCTCCTCTCATGTTGTTGACGCGCGATACTTTCAACGGCATTCCCGCACTCACGAGCGATATTTTTATATCGCTATTTTCGTTATTTTACGCGCGATACTAAACGGCACTCCCGCACTAATTCGGTACGATTAAAAATTTTGTCGCGCGATGTATATATTTAATATATATATATTTTGTCCGACACTCCCGATTTCGGTACGAGCGAAAATCCCATTTCATTTCGCGAGAATCAATTTCGAGTCAACAGGTCGGGAATGCAACGATACAACGAGCAAAGATTAGGCCCGAACCGGAAAGAAGACGAAACGATTGACGGAATAGAGGAAAATAAAGTTCACCAGCTCTTTTTCGCGCATAATTATCCTATCTCGTATCGAACCTGGACCCGCTAAGCACGATTTCAGGTGACCCGCACGGATGCTATATCACTAGCGCAGTACACAAGGCTGATAGACGATAAAAGAAGAGGATACCCACATTTTTTAAAAGCTAACATTCAGCAATTTAGAAAATGGGGAGGCAACCCCTTTTACCGAGCGAAAATCGTGCCTAGGGGAATCCACTCGACTCCTCGACAGGGTTAACACACGCTAGGCGTGTGGCTGTAGAGTAGACGAGCAAAGAGAAGGGACCTATTGACGACCATTTCGAACAATCGATCGAGTTCTAACCGATTCGGGCCAAATCAATTGACGAAGCAGAGCGTGTTCATCACTAAGCCGATCGAGCGCGAAGCTCGAACCCGCGCGCCCATGTATATTTTATACTGGACATACGTTCTGCGCGGCCGGCATCACCAAGTGCCACGTTGCACAAGGCGCGAGTACGTCGCAAAGCAACGACTCGATGAAACATCCCAGTTAATTGGCGTCGGAAGGAGAGACTCGTTGACAAAAACGAAATTGGGATTTTGAAAACGGGACGCGAAAACGCGATAACGCGAGAGTACTATAACGCGAAAATGCGGTTACGAAGCGCAGCCGTCCGCGGCACGTTGACGGCACCGACGACGCGAAAGGGTACTTAGCTTCTCATTCAGGCACCTTAAGATTTATCATAAATTAAAAAATTTAAGATAAACCTCAAGGTACCGTCCAGGTACTAAGCCCTCCCACCGCGACAAGGTGTACCCCATGGGAGGGTTATATTATATTATATATAATTTTATATATAATGTAATATATATTTAATTTTGTAATGTACTATATAAATTTTAATTCGCAAATATAAACGATAAATAAAAATATAAAAGATAAGAAAAAATCTATTATATAAAGCAATGTTTAAAATAATTATTAGGGAAAGAATTTGATAATATATGGAACATCTCACATCACTATCTCACTGCTTGAAGGCCACTGAGGGAATGATCGTAGGTCAAAAACATTACCGCGATACTGTTTATATCGCCAAGGTTGACTATGTAGAGAGAGACTTTGATAATATATGAAACGTCACTGCTTATTGTTACTGTGCGAACGATCGTAAAACCTTTACCGCGATACTGTTTATATCGCCAAGATCGACTTATACTATATTATTGTTATAATTCGTCGTTGAAATATTCTACGAGTGATTGCCGATTAAGAAAATTTAAAGCATTGGTCGAAATTTATTTAATTTTAATAAGTATCGTTAGAGAAATTATTAATAAACATCAATAATCGAAAGATCATAATAAAATTAATTTCCTTATTCCCTTTTATGTTCCCTTTTTCAATTTTTATTCGCACTAATTATTGATTGCGATTCGATAAAGATTTATCGTTACGATACATTTTCATAACGTTTATTATAAATTAATTTATTTTTAATTATTGGTAATTATGTCAAATTATGTTTCGATACTTATCGTAATCATGTTTAGAAAAAAAATTTGACAATATACGAAGCGTTTCGCACCACTACTTTATCGCTCGAGTGTCACTATGCGAATGATAATAAAGCCGTAACATATTAACAATAGTACGCTATTGTTTATATTGCCAAAGTCGAACACCGTATGATCGATAATTCGTTGTCGAAATATTTTACATATTATAACATATACTGTTACACATGAAAATATTAAATTGTAGAAGTTTTTCAATTTATAGATTAATTAAACGATTATTTATTAAACAATTAATTAACATACGAAGCATTTCCCATCGTTACTTTATTGCTCGAATGTCACCGAACAAATGATAGCAAAACCGTAACGTACAAACAATAACGCGCTATTGTTTACGTCATCAAAGTCGAACATAATGTTATTGATAATTCGTTGTCGAAATATTTTATACTATAAACAATTATAAAACAATTTATATAAAACAATTTATTGATTAAAATTGATTATTTATTAAACAATTTATCAGCCTTCGTTATGCTAATTATTTGCATCTATAATTCGATTGTTTTACTTCGTGTTCTCTCACAATCCAAATTATATTTACATTATCAAGTAGAACGATAAGATAACACGGAAATATATTTGTGACTCTAAGCATTAAAATAATAATTATTGTCCGTAATGATTGCAACGAAATGATTATTTATTATCTTAGATTTCTATCACTTTGATTTTTGATTAAATTGTACATCGCTAAATATGCATTTTAAGATCTATCGTCGCGACACAATTTTGCGTATTATTTAGCATATATAAAATTAAGTAATAATCATATCAAATTTCTTAATATACTTCTCAATCGCGTTTAGAAAAGGAATTTGATGAAGCTTTTCGCGTCACTATTTTATTCGAATTCATTTGGCGAATGATGATTAAAACATGTAAATATTAATGCGTTATATGTTGCAAAGATCGGTAGTATTATTATTAATTTGTCGCAAAAATACTTCATATATAGCATACATATACGCGCGAAATATTAAATTAATTTAGAAAAGTATTTTAAATTATTGGTTAATTTACTATACGATTGATGTATCACGAATCTTTATATTAATCTCGACTTTGCGATTTGACTGTCAAACTGAAAACAATAACGAAATAAGCATATTTAGTCAAGTTAATATTTTTTTGTATAATATCTACATATATGTTATGATTATTATATAAATAAGACATCTAAATAATTTTCTTTTTTTAAGAAAGAGAATGAGAGAAAGAGGGAAATGACTCGCAGTAATATTAATTACAATTTCGAGAACTTCCTCTGATTATTTTGATTGTTATAAATATAAACGCCAAGCACAAATTAAACATGCAAACAAACAATACTTTTACAGATCTCTTTTGTATGAACCAAAGTGTCCAAAATAAATGATTTTGAAAAACTAATTATTACTCCCTATTTATATTTTTATTTGTCCGTTGAACAGATATTTTATATCATCAATTGCACACTTATTGAAAAAATTGTTCTTAACTATAACTCTTAAAAATTAAAGGGTCGAGTAATGAATAAAAAAATCTAATTCTTATATATAAAATATCTAAATAAATATATTATAAAAAATCTTTCATAACGTATCTATTAAATGTTAATATTATTATAATTAAATATTAGTATACTATAATGTATCTATTAATGTTAATATATCCATAATTTTCATGTATCTCGTATAATATATTTTATTTTATTTTATAATTTTAAATATTTAAAATTAAAATTTATGTTATTGTATATATATACGTTTGTAACGCATTCCTTAATTTCATTGTTATGATCGAGTGTGTCGATAAAAAAATTAAATTAATTTTGTCATTTGTTATAAGTGAATTGATAGAAAGATGATAAATTGTTATTTATAGGGACATTCGAAAACTCAAAGACATACCGAAATCATATGTAATATATTTATATATTTAATTATATATATTTATATATATAATTAAATATATAAATATATTACATATGATTTCTTAATATATTTATATTAATAAGAGATTTACAAGTTAAATATAAACGTTTGAAATTTTCCGCTGTTCTTTCGCTTCCGATGACGTCATAAAATTAAATTCCGACTCCACGCTCCACCCATATTCGCACATGCTCCTTCTTGGTATTCTTTATTCAATGATTGTGACCTGTTGTGATCGCGACGACATCTCGGCGTCTGCCTGCTTCATTGTGTTCATCATGGCTTCGATGGGTTAGTATTCGCCGCGAAAATGTTTAATTTAGCATTTTAATTTATTTACACGACAATAAATGGAACGTAGCGCCGTTAAATGATCTTGCATTCCGCTCTTGATGAATTTTCTGTTATTTATCGCATCAACATAATTTAATTTTGCGTCTTTCGCGTAGTTGTCAGTCTGACTTTTTTCCTCTGCCTTTAGTTTAAATTCATATTGTATCCCCATGTGTTTGCGAGGACGTTAAGTTGAAAGATCTTTGCTCGTTTCTAGAATCTCTGGTATGCGATACTCTCGACCTGAGCGGGCAGGGTCTCAAGAAGCTCAGCCGATGTCCCTCAGATGCAGATATTAGTACGTTAATCATAGACGACAATGATATACAACGGCTTGATAATCTGGATTCTTATCACAGAATTACCAAGGTGAGAAAGAGAAAGAGAGATATACAAATTTACATTAAAGATTGTTTATGTTAATGTTATATATACATATGTAAAGTTATAAGTTTTTAGCCGTAAGTCTATCGCTGTATTAGATAGTTTTGTATAAAGAAATTGTAAATTTTGTATAAAGTTTTATTATGCATTAATTTAAATCATTTAAAACAGTCTTGTTACATTTAAATTGATAGAATTCTGTTGTTTATATATAATATAAAATTATTCTATCAATACAATTTAGTATTAAACTATATATGTAAAAAATATATATGTAGATATATGATCTACTGATTTCAGCTTTCTATAGTCAGAAACCAATTATTACGTATGTATGGTGTGTCAAAGTTGCATAATCTTGTTACTCTCAATTTGGCGAACAATGGTATACTCACAATAGAAGGTATCAAGGACATGATCAATTTGCAGACTCTTTGTTTAGCGGGTAATAATATCAAGGTAATCAGTAATATTGTATAATTTTATATATATTTTTTATATAATACTATAACATAATAATAATATATTATAGTCTATTGAACATCTGCACACAAATATCAAATTGGAACATCTGGATTTGTCTGAAAACAGCATCAGTCATATTTCAGACATATCTTACCTGCGAAGTTTAAAGGTATATCATTATGGATATATTTCTGTATAGAATTGTTATGTAACAATAATTAAATGCTTTGATTTATTGCTTTATTAAATTTAATTTTTGAATGTTGCTTTACAATAATATATATCTTTCATTTGGTGTTATTATTAAAATTTTTTAGGAACTTTTTTTACATAACAATCGCATAATAACATTGCGTCAATGCGAGCGCTACTTGCCCACATCCCTAGAAACATTTACATTGGCAAATAACAATATTACTGATCTGAATGAAATGTCACATTTGGCTAATCTTAAAAATCTAGTCAATTTCTCTATTGCTAACAATCCATGTGTCAGTATGACAGGTAACAGTATGTATCCTTTTTATAAGTTACACCCACACATGTTACTATTTCATCTAGAAATTAGTAGACTTGTTGATGTCTTTTAATATCGATTATAGTTGGAAAGAAATTTGTTATATCGAGACATAACACTAGCATTCTATTTTTTAAATGCTATAAATGGTAACTTTTGCTTTCACAGTTACACTAGATATAAAAAAGTTAGTTTACATTAATCATATAGTATTACAATAGTATATTATTCTTAACAAATGGTCTATAGTGGATTTGACTATCGGCCTTTTGTTATTAATTGGTGTATGAGTTTAAAATCCATTGATGGTTATGCAGTTGATCCTATTGAAAGGTGGGTTCCTCAAAAATATATACTCATATATAAATTACTATTATTATATCAAGACTATGATTCATGCACATTGAATTTGAATGATCAAAACTAATTGGCGACAATATTTACTCAGCTTGAAAGCAGAGTGGCTGTATTCTCAGGGACGCGGTAGACAATTCCGCGTTGGTGAACACGCCTTACTTGCTCAATATCTAGCATCTGTCTGTCCGCTTTCGGGCGAATCCTTAGAGAACGAGACGGACAGAAAACTTAGGCTCATACTGAGTAAAGCTCAACATCACCAACAGCAATTGAATCAACAGAGCGATGCCGGAAGCGTGCACAGCTTAAGTAGCGTGACAATGAGTCCTTCTCCAGCCGCTAGACGTAGACTTAGTCATAACAAGACAAACTCTCCCAGACGACCTAGTGAGTCCAATAAATTCATCATTTTTGCATAGAGCCATATTGGAGACTCGAATGGAATGAGTTTTTTTTGCGAGGTTTCTTAGAATTCAATTTAATATCATAGTTGTGCGAGAAGTGGACTAGTAGTGATATAGATTTTCCAGTCGTCAAGTTTTCTGGTACACACATCCTAGTTATGATCTGTTTTCTCTAGTGCCAATGTTGACATACTATGAAGATAAATGCTTACAATCACCAAAATTTTATGAAGCAAAGTACTGTGTCTGCCATATTCCTTGCAAAGGTATCCAAGGTCAAATTGAGGATTTATCATATATCAAAATCACATAGCAGGACTGTGCAAGAATCTAAAAGCAATTTTATTCTTTGTGCTTAATGAAAATTATATATTTTAATTCATGTAGTTATTGCATTTAAATAGTACAAATTAAGTTGGAAATAAAGTTATTTTTTATTTTCAATATTATTATATAAATATTAATATTACTTATTGTAATATTTACATATTATTTTACTTTTATTTATTAGTATGTATTTTACAACCTATATATATCTCATTTGTAAGAAATATCAATCATTTATTCAAAAGCAATTAAAATACGAAAAAACTAATTGATGTGATTCGTGCACATGTCTATTCCTCTCATGCATAGTACTTTCTGAGCAGTCTGCTTCTTTAGGCTTTTATAGTGCAAATGACCATTGGCCGATGAAAGCAGTTAATATATTATTACAGCTATATACTTAGACGATTTGGTTAGCGTATTAGCATTCGACGATTTGGAAAGAAACCTTTTCACATAGTTCACATCTTTTCTTTGAATAGTAGTATAATTTTAATTAAAGTAGACTACATATTATTCTTGCATGCTTTCTTGCTAGCAATGCTAGCATCTAGAAAAACTTCCTACAAGCACAAATATATTTTATACAAATGATATAATTTCGATTGTTGCACGATAAACATTAATAACATTATCAAATAATGTTTAACTTAAGCTTCCTCGAGGAACTCTCTGAAAATGAAATCGCCAGATCGAATGGTATCCAGTTGTCATACCGATGCTATGGTTTCTTCGTGTCACGGTTTATTGAGTGGGGATCATGATTCGACTCTGATGACGCAGAGCTTAGATCCCAATATGCTTTCTGGTACATTCAATAATAAAATATCAAATAATAGTTTGCAAGATATGGAAGGTAATTCAATTATGTAATTAAATAATAGAGAATCAGATTACATAATAAGAGAAAAACTGTTTATATAGAAACATCAAGCCCTTTGCAAGCAGCTACGAAACTTGTACCAGTACCAGAATCTTTGATGAGTCCAGATTTTCGTCCGCCATCGGGTCTTTCACGGATTTTAAAGACTCCCACGCCAAGTAAATTAACGTCTCCTTGTCAAATAACAATACCTAGCAAACCATCTATGGATGGCGATGGAAAGGCAATTCCAATCATAAACACTGTCAATCCTATGGCTAAAACGAGTCTAAGCGCTATAAAAGCGAATGCACTGATGAAGAGCAATTCAGCAACAAATTGCAGCTTCGTGAAACCGAGCATAGCGAAGCCGGTCGTGACGTATGCTAACAATAAATGTCCACATAGTGTAAAGATTAATAATTACGTTCAGAGCAAGACATTACCTGCAAAGAGAAGCACAAGAAGTCCCAATCTAGCTAGAAGTATACAGCGACCGAAAAGCGCGAATGAAAGACTCAAAAGTAACTTGAACAAAGAAGATAAGAACGGCGATGCTGATAACGGAATTCAAAGTAGCGATGAGGATAGTGAAGTATGTCAAGCGAAATTAGATAGCATTCGGCATAGAGCTATTCAACGAAGACAAGAAGACAGTAACAAAGGTAAGATATGATTTTAAAATAGGAGTATTAAAATAAAAGTACTTAATAGTAGTATTAATTTAATAGTAAGTATGTATTAACGGATGCTTTCTCTGCTTGATTAACAGATCAAGATCAAACAGAAAAGGCTGCTATCTGTATTCAAAGAATGTGGCGAGGCTATCATACAAGGAATCTTAATAGAAAAGCTACTAATATATTAAAAACAATCGACATGATGAGAACAAATAAATACATTCAGTAAGCTCATACATATTTTTGTCATGCAGTTCTATATATATCATTTATGAAATAAAATTGACAAAACATTTTATAGGAAATTATCAACTGACATGGAAGCTACAAGAACCGCTCTTGAAAGCGAGCATAAATTACAATTATTACAAATGCAAGCGATTAATGCATTATGGAAGAAAGTAGTCAGTCTGCAACCAGGTAATAATCGAGAGAACACTTTCAATGAATCGGACAATAATCTGCAATCAAATGCAGATGTAGTTAGTAATCTTGCTCAAACCTGCAATCTACTTCACACACAAGTGAGTTTTTAATAGAATAAGTTCTGGACTCCAAAATATTTCCAACATTTTGCATTTTTCTGTTTCTTTTGTCAGGTCCAGCAACTACAGGATTCGATGTCTGAGATAAAGCGTTGCATGTCTAGTATGAAACCAAGACCTTCTCTCGTTGATAACGGTGTCGCTACTCAAACGGAAATATCTGCTGTGCACACACCGGCAGGCGAAGAAAACACATTCCCGTATGGACGTCCGCAAGTTAATAGACCGCAAAGTCTACCGATACATCAAACGATACATGAGGGGAATGAAAATAAGAGTTTCGCGTCTAACTTGGTGGATAGCGTACTGAAGAAAGTATCACAATCAACTGATACGACAGATGATGAAGTTAATACGGATATCTTGAATTCAAATGAGAATCCAGAGGTGCCACACTTGAATGATAATCCCGAAATGTTTAAGAGTTGCGAAGAGATAATAGAATCCGATTTTAAGGAGGCAGTTGAGAATGAGGTTGCGACAAACGATTACGAAAATATAATCGAGAATGCAACGATAGATGGTGAAGTATGTGAAGAAACATTATGCAAGGAACTGCACAACTTGATCGAAACGGAAAATGGAGCAGAGGTTTCTGAAAATTGCGACAAAGAAACTGCGATTAATGAAGATGAAAAGGAAACCTCGTAGATTTGGATAAGACGAATCGTATTCGCACCATATGCCTTGTGAGTAGCGCAATCACGGTAAGACAGTGTGTACGAAGTAAAAGAAAAAGGAAAATGAATGTCGAAATATAATGCTCACTGTAAATAGTAATCGTAACAATATTATAAAACGAAATTTATAATTTTAATCGTAAAAACCATTTTGTTACAAGAGGAAATACAAGAGGGAATTTTATCATGATGAACAACAAGCTGCCATTCTGGTCAAATAATTCTCTCGTGCTTAAGTAAAAAAGGTTGATGAAAACACAGTGCGTATAAACAATATCGATAAAATTTATTTGGATATAATTGTGAGACTTTTAAGTCGAAACTTAAGTACAACTTCTGTTATACATTACTTCCATATTATTTTATCATCGTAAAAAGTTTCAGAAATTTTCCGTCCAAATATCCAACTATTAATATGATAGTACATATATTTGTAAAACATAGAATTATTTTATCGCACTGGTCATTGAGAATTGTTTCTGAAAGCATTAATTTTGTTTATATTGCTCTCTATCTCCTCGAAATAATTTCATAATATATTCTAGGAAATCACAGCTTGCATTTCAATAGATACTGGTATTTCTAAATTAAAAATATCTGTAAAATATATATTTATTATTCATTTAATCAATATCCATCTGATCAGTTTTTCACTCATGTAACAATTTCATATTTAATAATTTATTTGTTTGTAATAAAAAAGTATTATCTTTAATGTACACTAAAAATATTAAAGCATTAAAATAGAATAGAATAAAAGATATGATTGAATTTCTCTAGTCAATACAGTAGCTTTTACATTTAGGTACACTGTAGATATTCACTTTAGAATTGTTATGTATAGATATTACTTGAGGCTATGAAATAAACATTGCAACATCTTCATTTAAAATTCATTATATTGTTAAAAAGCATAATTAAAAAGTATAACAAAGATATAATAATGTTTCTTTTAAGTTTGATTAATATTTATACAACAAATAACTGTTCATTGAATAATTCATATTCTGCAAATATACGCGAGCTTAATAAAAAAAAAAGAATTAATTAAATTAATATTATATATTGATTGCAGCATATTTTATATTATATATAATCTCTATATATCTTATTGTTTACTCCTCATTCCCTCTCACTGATCTTAATTTATTACTTTACATTTGATCATATAATACATAAAATAAAAATGTTATATATAATTCTAAATGGGTTTAAAATAAATTTAAGAAATTAAAAAATTTAACTACAATGAAGTTTATCTTGTTTTTGATGTACTTTCTTTAAAATTATTAAATTTTAAGAAAATATATCGACAAGAAATACACAAATTAAAATAATATATCAATAAATCATTCAATTGAACATAACATTCATTCTATGTGTATATGAAAAGTGTCAAGTAAAAAAAGAGCAATTAAAAATAAGAAGGGAAATGATCAAGAGTGACATTAGGAATGAAGAGACATAATTGTATTTATTAATATTTTAATGCTTGAAATTTCTTGAATACTTCAACATTTTTATGAACTTTGAAATGAATGTTCAATGTGTGTGTAACTTGCAAGATATTTGCAGCAATGTTTGCTTCAATAGAGAAAGCTTAGCTAAAATTCTTATTCTTGTGATTTTTCAAGAGAAACATGATATGATATGTGATATGTAAACCAAAATAATTTGCTTGCAATAGCTTGTAATGGGTTGGATAGACATTTTTCTCGTGAAACGAGAATATAGAAGCATAATTATAGTATTATATTTATTTCTCATATTCCCTGACAACTTATAAATTATATATATATATATATATATGTTATATGTATATATAAGGCAATACATTCTCTCCTATTATTACATATTATTTACATTGCATTTTATATTTGTATTTGATATTATTTTAAGAAATATATACAAAATTAGAATATGTTATGCAAATATTATTGTCTCTCCGTATATCAAATAATCCTAAAATATTATATCCAAATATTATCCACGTATTTTTTCTTAACAAATATATAATTGACTTATTTGCATTTTTAATAAAAATTTATCAAAAAACTATAATAAACACAAATTATCGATATCTTTACTTTTTTTCATTCATATATGATATATATACACAACATGATACAGTGAATTGATTCAAATATTGAAATATCGATATTAATTTTAGTTTTTGATTTTTATTGTTTAATTATCAATTATTACAAATTATCGATTTCTTAATATCTAATTCAATTCCTTAACATATATGATGCATTCTTTCATCTAAACAAATAAAAGTATAAAAATTTTTATCAAAATCTTTATAAATGTAAAACGTACTAATGAAACATTTTTTGGCATGTAGTTTTCTCAAATTCTAAATAAGAATTTTTCAACTTTTTTATTCTTATTATTTCTCGTGTAATATCTTTATCATTAGGATATATTTCAAATGCTCTCTCTAAATCTACTATTCCTAATTTATATTCATTTAAGCCACTATAAGCTTGCCCTCTCCTAAATAAAGCTTTACCATTGGTATTGTCCGTTTCCAGAACCTAAATTGTATATTTAAATATAATACAATCTTTGATTTTATCATAAAATGTTTACTTACCTCATTACAGAAATGTATGACTTTGCGATACTCTTTCCGTTTTAGATATACAGCAGCTAAATTAAGCAATAAAACTGATTTAAGATCTACCAATGAAACATAAATTGTATCTGGCATGTCTTTCTGCTGGCACATCCAAAGATAATACCGTAATGCTTTTTTATATTTTCTACCTGCATCAACAAAATTCTTTTTGGAAAAATAAAAATTTCCAGAATCCTTTATCCTTCTTATGACTTTTTCCATATATTTATGCTAAAAATATAATTAGATTAAAATTAAAAGGTATTTCATATCAATATGTAAAAAATAATTTTTAGAGAAATATATGTTAAAAAAAAATTACACTGAGTTTCTCAACATGTAAAAAATAATCCCAATCTTCTGGCCATGGTGTATAAACATCCTCTGATCCATCATTTTCTTCTAATCCCCAATTCTCATTTTTTTTTAATTCTCCACAATCAATTATACTTATTTTCTAAACAAAGCAATCATAACACTGAACATTTATTATAGATGGAAGAAACTATATTATTCTTGTGTTATATAAAAAATATACAATCTTACATCAACTGGAATGTCCTTTTCAGTTTGCACTTTACCAATTTCTAACACTATGCCCATGCCTTTTATAACTTCGCCAAAAACTACATTGGTATTATCCAAATGTCTAGAAGATTGAATGGTAATGATGAACTGAGAACTGTTGGTATGTGGTTGTCCTTCATTTACCATACTAAGCAATCCAGCAGATATGTGTTTCAATGTAAAATTTTCATCATTGAAATAAGGACCGTAAATACTTTCGCCACTGGTCCCATTAAAATTGACAATATCTCCACCCTGAATCATAAACTGCGAAATGACTGCAATGCAAAATTACATGAATGTATAACAATTAATTATTGTAATCAGTTAGATTCTAGTAACTCTTTTGCTCAAATAATAAAAAAAATTTATATTTTTTTCTACAAACAAAGATAGAAATTTATTTTTGTATTATAATCTCAAGATTATAGCGTGAAAAAGGATTGAAAAAGGAAAATGATAAGATTAATTGACTAAAAATTATATTACAATAAATTAAATATTGAGAAAAATTATATTACAATAAAGAGGATTAAATATTGAGAATTATGAAATGCATACTTTTATGAAAAGTACTCCCCTTGTAATGTAACCTCGTAGCCTTTATTCCAGTGCCTTTCTCGCCAGTGCACAAGGCACGAAAATTCTCCGCAGTTTGCGGCACCACATTTTTAAATAATTCTATGACGATTCTTCCCACTAAATAATAATAATAATAATAATAAAGTCAGTGATTCTTGCGAAATATATATCGCGATATTTTATAACCTCATGTGAAATACCTTTTTCAGGACCTATCGCAATGTCCAGAAAAACCACAGGATTATCCTTATCTGTAAGAAGATCGTTTACATTTTTTTTCAAGGGATACTTCATATCTTTCTCGATAAAAAAATCAGTTCGAACAATTTTATTCATATGTAAGATTACTCGCAGCTTGTAGCCGCGAAGCCCACGTAAATACAATAACACAAATATTAGACCGTGTCTTTGTCACACGCGTTGTTTTTCTAATTGCTATTTCTAGTATTAGAGATAAAAATCTTCTCTCTAATAATATTCTAACAGAATTAATGATTTTATATACTTCTTAGAATTTATTATTTTTGAAGATAAAAATGTTTCTTTTGTAAATTGAAAAGTGTATTGCGTCTGAACTAATAACAAAGAATATATTTGAACGTATATATCTTAAAGTTGTCAACAAGATTAAATTATATATATATATATATATATATATATATATATATATATATATATATGTATGTATGTATATATATATATATATAGAATAATTTTTTATTTGTATAAGATAAGAAGAGATAAGAGAATATTAAATTTATCAAAGTAAATCAAATTTGCGACTTTAAATAAGAGTGAAGATAATTAATCTCTCGATGTAAATGGCCAAACTTTTGTTTGTTTCGAAAAATTCGATATATATATGTTGCAAGTAATAATAAATCAATTATTAATCACTCATATAGGATAAAACTAGATTTAAATAAAACAACATATACGCAGGATTAAATATATAATATATATATATAAATTTCCAATCCCTTTTACTTGTGCGCGTTCTTGAATAAAATACGTTACCTTGAATAATATGCGATAATTTCAGTTATAAATTAAAAATTACATTTGTTATTTTATATTAAAAGTTAATAAAAAAACAATAAAAGAAAATATACACACATTTACAAAAATACTAGGTCCCACCGAGATTTGAACTCGGATCGCTGGATTCAGAGTCCAGAGTGCTAACCATTACACCATGGGACCTCTTGCACAAGAGCCCAGTGGATAATGTACATAGAGCATCAAAATTTTTCTATAAAAATTATTACCAATATTATGAATTTTCAAAGTATTAATATGTCAAATTTATTAATTGGTAACAAGCGTTAATACTTCAAATTCGTACTAACAGAATTATTACACATATCTCTAATAATAGATAAGTTATTTTTTTCGCACATATTTGCACAAATTGAATAAATTTTAAAGTTCTATTGAGTTAGTTCTATTGAGATATCTCAGCATTCTATAAAATTGTACCAATTAACAATTATCAATAATTTTTTGTTTTTCAGATTATAAATAATATATATATATATATATATATATATATATATATATATATATATATATAGATTAAGAAATGATAAAATTAATTTACAATTAGACATTAGAAATAAATTTTGTTGCTTATACAATTGAACTTATACCGAGAAATCCATGCTATACATAACATAAGTAAATATTACATATTACAATGAAATCAAAATATTAACATTGTATAAAATATAATACAGTTTAAAATCTATTAATGGAAAAATTGAACAATTTGCTCATCAAATTCAAATTCTACTTATTGTTAGAACAAAAATTATATTTTAATAATTATTATAAATTAAAATCAACTTAGTATAGTCAAACTTTCTTGAAAATCAAATCTTTTTTTAGAGAATGCTAAAATGGCAACAAGAAATCTATTTACTAACTTTATTATATTAACAATTCTAAAATTAAATGAGCAGGATGTAGAGAACATAAAATTCAATATTCATTTTTTTGTTTTATCATTATAATAAGTAAGTATAACAATGAAATTTCTCATAGAATAACATATAATTGCATATCGCTTATTTCATATAATAAATTTTAATACATATATATGTAATATTTATATATCTTTCATCTATATCTCACAGAATTTTTTCAATAAGAATTCTCACTCTATATATATATATATATATATATATATATATATATATATATATATATGTATATATGTATATATGTGTGTGTGTGTGTGTGTGTGTACGTGTGTGTGTGTGTGTGTGTGTATACACACACACACACACACACACACACACACACACACACACATATGAAAATTATAATACTATATAAACAAGCAAGATATCGATACACTTATCATATACATAGTAAGTAGTCAAATGTCTAGAAGCTTTTCTAGTGCTAAATTGTATTACATACTATCAGAACTTTTTTGTCCTCCATTACTTATCTGGAAATAATAACGAATAATATATTTCGTTTCTTCGCGCGATTAATTTCAATTCGAGTCGCTATTGCATAATATAACAATTTCACATGTGTTTCATACACGTTTACTTTAGTGACACACATTTAAATATACAATGCGAAAATGAATAAGATCATTGGCTTAAAGCATTTTTCATATTTTGAGCAATAAAAAAGTACACTTTTCTTCCTGTACCCTATTTTGTATGATACTTAAAAAAATGTGTGTTCAGGGCGTGAGTGTATGTATTTATATGGATGCAAAAACGAATTTCTTTTCTCGTATTATTCTCTGTTTCATGCAGTAAATTTGGCAAATTTGTTTTGAATCTTTGTTTTTGCTCTATATAGATACAATTGATAGGTAAATTACAATTTATAATCAATTGAGAATCTTGTCGATTATATATTATACAAATATGACCCCACATAAAAATGCTGTTTGCTCTAAAGCCACGTTAAATAAAGAGAAGTGCAGATTCAATTTTTTAATAGAAAAAAAGTAGACGCTCCTGTGCACTGCCGGATAGTAATCTCCAACCACGTTTGATGTTTAAATATTGAATGATGGCACGTACACAAATTAAAACCCCTGAAATAATATAATATTATATTTTAATATTTTTTTAAATAATAATTTTTACATTAAAATATCTTTTAATTAAATTTTTTAAACATCATACATACCAAATGCCATAATCAACCACCAAAGCCATGAATTCTCACGTGAAGCAAGATCGGTAGAGTGTTTGACAATGAGTGTCCACTTTGTCAGAGACAATCCAAAACCAGCCAGTGCACCATAACGAGAAGCAATAGTGTGACAGAAACACATCAGTAACAGAAACCCGATCCAATTAAATAGGAATGCAACTATAAAAGGCAGATTAATTAATGTAAATAAATATATCATATTTTAAAAGAAAAGATTTTTTAAATATAAGAATATCTCACCAAGAAATGCTGTGAAAAACATAAAGTCTGTACCAAGTAATCCACTTTCTGGATCACCTTCTGCAGCTTCGGTATCTATTGCCAAAATTGTTAGAGGTTGTTGTGGTGACCTAATATTTCCTGGCTACAATAGAAATATTTAGAATAACTAAAGATTCAAAACTTGGAAAGAGATGTTTAAAATACAAAAAGAATTTACATACATAAATACATAACAAATATATAAATATATAAAATTCTTTCAAGTACAGTTATGTACCATATGTACTTGAGGTTGTGGCTCGCCTTGTAGAGTTTTTTCACGCTGCACCTCTTCATAACTGGGCAATTTGGTAGCTACTTCATAAGGAGGTGGTGCAGAAAAGTCTGGTTTTGGAGGTGGTATCTCTTCTCCATCGGCCTAAATAATTTTACTCAATTAATTCAATTGTTTAATCTAGAATGATTTTTACTATACATTATATGATATACGTTACCATTCGAATTCGATTCATCGTTGTTAGATCGTTTGCCTGTGCACCAGCAGCAGATGTTCCGGAATGATTGAGTATATCAACTTGCATAAATGGCATAGCTACAGTGACTGTAGAAACTTCGTTTTGATGTGATGTTTCGCCACTGGTATCCGCACTTGTTTGAGGCGGCTATAAAACAATACATAGATTAGATTTCGACAAACACATATAGTTTGCGGGATGACAGTCGCTTTTGTTTACTCTGAAACTCTCCAAAAGTACGATCGAGAAAAACTTCCAAAATAATCAAGATATATATGTGCCGTGACAAATCATAGATAACGATATGTCGACGTATAAAATCTAACATAAATCATCAAAATAACATGACATTACGGAAAAGAATTTTAACGATTTGAACGAAGTTGATTATAATCGAGCGAGAAAATATTGACGATCGCGCAAGGCAAGTTTCCGTCGTGCGTATATATAAATAGACGCGATGTTTTCGCGTTGAAATATTTCACACGAGATATTCTTCGCGACGCAAAAAAGGATAAAATGTCCTAGAAGGGTTTAGTGAATGGAACCATTTACGGTTCGTTGTCGGTGGACGTACCGTGTTGTGGCGAGCGTTACTGTCCATTTCCAGCCAGATTTCCGCGTGACAATTGACAAACGATATCGGAAATTATCTCCTTGAGAAACGGCACGCTCCTATAAAACGCAAAACACCGTTTTCCAAATTAATAAAAAGCGTTCGCAATTCGGATGGCTGACAGCTGGTAAGTCGTAGCTGACGTGACGTTTCACGTTTGCTCTAAAGTCACGCCCATCATTCTCGATTCTTTATAGATATTCTGGTCAGAAAGTGCGTACGAGAAAGAGCATTTGTTTCTTTCTCTTTTACAAATGCTTGCTATTTTCCTGATGCAACATCACGTTCCTTTTGATAATTTTTCCAGATTTTCTATTTTAGGTTTCATAAATATTGTCGAAATCAGTGATACATACTAGTACAATAAATTATAGAAAATGTAGCCGAGGAGAAAATGGTTTCTTAATTAATAATCATAAACTAATGAAAGATAAATTACGCTTGAATAAAATCGAGGTCGATAGAATCGAATCTTTAATTTTCTCCACCCAGCAAATACAGAATATTGCAACAATATTGCGGCAATATTACAACATTGCAGCAATGTAGCTGCAATATTTTGGTTTGCTGGGCATTTATGTTATAATTCCAAAAGAATTGTTAATCTAATTTAATTTAATTAATACATTCTACCTTCGACATCATGAGCAATTATCAACAATTACGATCGTGTCAAATAGTCGAAAATAATATAGAAAATAATCCGCGAAAATTCGGATTATAAGAATTATTAAAGATTAGAGATATCGAGCGATCTGATTGGACGCGGGTAGTCGCGCATTGAGAACCGACCCTTAGGACGGGGTCCCAGCCACCGGAAGACAACGCGATGCACCGGAAATGCACCGTTAACAATTTCACCGCGTTTTCAAGCAAATTCGTAATACGCTCTTCACCCATCGCGAATAACGCGTGGATTTAACATTCGCGTGTCGCGCGCAGAAACATCGTCAGCTTCGTCGATCCGTGAAATCGTCGCCAGCTTGACTAGCCATCCGACGAGGATGGTATATTGGGGCGGGGCGCGGGGAAGAAGCGACTACGTTCACGTCGTCGCGCATAAACGACGCTCCGCTCGTCAGTTGCTCCAGTCGCTCGCTGATCGTCGCAGGAGTAGGTAGACGGATCTTCGGCCACGCGATGTCGGAAGTATTCAAATTGGGTGACTTAGTTTGGTGTGTATTAAGAGTGCGCATAATGCGATCGTGTGTATGTAGTGCCACACGTACTAATCCTCTCCGTTTCTCTTTCTGGCTTTCAGGGCGAAAATGAAGGGATTCTCGCCGTGGCCCGGCCGGGTAAGTGCCGACTCCCCTCCCCCCGCCCCCTTCCTCGCCTCTTCCCTAGTCCGCGACTATCGTAACGCGGGCTCTCTCGCTGCACTCCTCCCGTTAACGTCGTTTGCGCGCGCGCGCGCGCGCATACTCGCTCGTATTTGGCGGGTTTTGCCGCGTTCGCGAGTGCACGAATTGTTCCGCCGCGCGATATCCGTCTTGGACTCGACGCCGCCAACTTTGACTCGCATCGCATTCCGTCGCATGGCATCGTACGGTCTCTCTTATCTCCCGCCACACCCGACCTTCGAATTCAAATTGGCGCGCAGGCCGCGAAAATATAACCTAAATCCCGAATTTATGCGTCTCTCTCTCTCTCTCGATACCCGTCCCTCTCCTTCTCGCCTTCGTTTGGCGAAAGCAATCGTCGCGGATTTCATAACTTGTCGTTGCGATGAGTATCGAGTAGCGGTATTTCGATCCGCTAATCGTCGAGATTTCAGAATTTGTCCCGCGTAATCTGGCTACCTTTTTTTCGATTGGTAACGACGCGCATGACGTCGAGTGTTGTCCGAACGGGTCCGATTACGTCTGATCAGCTTGTCGCATTCGCATTTTTCTACGTTTACAATGAAATAAAAATGCATATTTTTCTGAAGAAAGAGAGAAGAAAATTAAGTATTACGAAGCGTGTGTGTATGTGTGTTATTCTGGGATCCCTTGGATTTTAATCGCGGTAATCGCATATCGTTTTATGACAGGAGCGTACGAAAGCGATTTATAGAACTACTTATTGTTAGATATAACTTCATATTATTGTCTGTAATTTTTCTTCAGGTTATCTCTTAATTCATATGAAAATTCAATTTAAAAAAAAAACAATATTTATATATTAATTTATGTATAATTATTATTGGACAAGAAGTATTGGTTGTGTTATTGAATTATTTTTAATAATATATTGATATCTTTCTTTAATAGTTTTTATTATATTTAAAATGATTATATTTAAAATTATTTTTCTAGCAATTTCACATCTTGAAAACATTATAAATATTAAAAGTTTGCAGTTGTAATGAGTTTTAGTTTGTAAATGAGACAACTATGTCATAGTATCAAAGTATTTTGTTAGAATAAATTTTCAAGTGATTGTATCCATCTTTTATTCTATATAAAAAGAGATTGATAAAATATTGTGTTTGAAATGGATTGTAAGTAAAAATGAAATGCAAAACATAGAATAAAATGTTGTAATTATGCTTATCAGTATATTAGACTATATATTAATAATTATATAATGGCATGTGAAGGTGTCAGTTCCTTCAAAGGACTTAAAGAAGCCTGCAAATGCAAAAAAGGGACCAGTACAGTGTATTTTTTTCTTTGGGACAAACAATTAGTAAGTTTTATTTACAAGTTGTTTACATGTTATTCATAAAATATTGTTATATTTTAAAATTTCTTAATATTTTTTTTGTAGTGCGTGGATAGAAGAATCCCACATTAAACCGTACCAAGAATATAAAGATACTTTAGTAAAATCTAGCAAGTCTGGTGCATTCAAAGATGCAGTGGAAGCTATAGAAGAATTTATCGCCAAAGGAGAAGTGAGTTCAAAATTTTTATATATTTATATTTGACAATTTGTTATTTATAACTTTACATATTATATAATTTGATATTAATAAAATATCACTTAATAAACAGCACTTATTAATAAACATAAAAGTTATTAGTTAAATAGTAATATTCTAGTTCCAAATATTAGAATTAATCTGAGAACAAAAATTAGAAATAAAATATCTAATTTTAATCTTGCATAATGAAAATGATAATATCTATTGATGTGCATTAGGTATTCGAAGATGGCTTGGATCCAGATTCCCTTTTCGATAGACTTAAAGAAGATACTGTAGCTGAAAAGAAACCTGTTGTTAAAACGCCAAAACCTCGCAAGGTTGGTAGTAAACATGTTTTATATTCTTCCACAATTATTAAAAATATTAATTACATCTTATATATACACACAATTAACTACTGCTACAGGAAACAACAAAAACTCCTAAGCGATTAAGTGACAGTGGTTCAGGTGATCGTCGACCTGCTAAAAAGCAGCGTAGGGAATCAAGTACCAGTAATAGCAACAGACTCGGCAGTGTCAGTCCTACACTGAATCATTCTACTCCAGCTAGAAAAACGGGCTCGCTTCTAAACAGACCGGCAAATGTCACCAGACCTGTAAGTAATTGATATCTTTCTCATTGTAGTTGAAAAAATTTATGCATTCTGTACCGTGAGTATTAACCCAAGTAAATAAACCCAAGTACATGTGATTTAATAATGTTAGTAAATCTAAAATTTACTCCATAATATGCACAACATTTGTATAACATTTTATAGAATTGAGATTAGATAATTATAGAAGATGAGATATTTTATTTTTAAATATCTAGAGTTATATTTACATTTTGCACTTTTATATTTACAATTAGCACTAAATATAATTGTTTGAATTACATTTTTTTTTTGTATCCAGTACTCATGAATACATTATGTAGAATGTTATCATAGACTGAGAATCGGACAGTATACGTGCGCGGAATGTTCCGCATATATACGAGTGCTATGTCTCAGTGCCGTACTTAGTTACACGATGATCTCGTTACTATATTTAGTGATTTCATATGTTCTTTAGTTTTAATAAAACATATTGAAAAAATATACTTCTTTATAAAAATAAAAAATTTTTAAGTTTATTTGAATTTTGATAAAAATAATAAGATATTTAATTATATCCTCACATCAGACGCTAATAATTTTGCAAATTTAGAGATCTTTAACATTTTAATAACTTTATAATGTTTATAATTTATAATTATAATTTAATTTATAAAAAAATATTAATTTTGCAATTTATTAAATGACATAATGTTTATGTGTGTGTATAAAATTTAATGATTATTTAATTATATATTTATTAAAAATCATACTACTTATCTAAATGTATATATTATAAGAATGAAAAGATCTGAATAAGATTTTAAAGAAATTATATCTAATCTCTCTGTATGCACACAACCACATTTTAGAAATTTGGTCTATAAAAAATTCTTCTAATTATCCACAGCTTGATAATTTATTATTCAATAATTACTCAATAATTATTCGTATCTGTGATAGGAGAGTGGATTTCTATTTGAAAAATATTTGAAAAAATAAGCTTCTCCTTCTCCTTCTCTATTTTCTTAAAGCTTTTTAAAATATATTTTTTGTCAAAAGTTTTTGAATAATAAATAAATAAATTTTTACAATCTCCTAATTTTTAGTGTAAACATGTTGATAATCAAAAATTTTATCAAATATTAAATTGGATTTTAATTACAATTAATTGTTAAGATTTCTTTTTTGCTCCTTTTTTTATTAAAATTTAATTCATCAAAAAATTATTTAATTTTTTATTAATGATAAATAAGATAATGGTATTTTTTAAATTCACATTTAGATATTCTTACTGCTGCAAACATATATATGACGAATATAATTAAATTAAAAAATTAAATAAAATTAATAAAATTAGATAAAATTTAAATTAGTCAAATTAGATAATTATTTCAAAATATTAATATTTCAAATAATGAAAATTTATGCCAATTGAATCGTGTGTGTATAGGAGAAATGTGTTTGTCATACAAAAAATATTCTAATTTTTTATATATGTGTTTTTTTGGAAATATTTCAAAAATAGTTTGTATAAATATTGTTCCCGTAACATTCTTTTATCTTTTTCCACAGGTTACACCACCCTTGGATCTTGAAACGATGTCAAAAACCCTCAAGGAAAAGAATATTCTTCCATCAAATCTAAAATTTGGTTTCCTCGGGCTAGGCA